AAAACATGCAGGAATTTATAGGAAGAAAAGAAGACCAAGGAGCTACAAGTTACGCTATACTGTCCACTAACACCACCAGTTACTTTACAATCAGCTCAAGCCTCATACGATAACATTGCACGACACTGACCAACGGTAATGACGTTCTACACCTATTATAAACTGGGGACCCTACAATCGATCTTCGAATCTTTAGAGCCACACAAGTTGTGTGGTATGTTGACATGCGTCCTCGAATTGTGGCTTGACCGTTTTGTCTGATGGTCTTGCCAGTATCGTCTTCGACATTATATGTACATCCGCCAACGTCCTTCACAGCTGAGCCTTTCAGCTCGTGCCTGTGCTTGGTTGCGCTCACCTTCCCCTCCTATGTTATTTCTATAACTTAGAACCTTCCAAGCTGGAAGGCTGTTGGAGTGCGCATCCAAGTCGTGCTAGAGCTGATTGCCAGTTAGGTATAGAACGTCAGTACCGTTGGTCAGTGTCGTACAATGTTATCGCATGAGCTGATTGTAAAGTAACTGGTGGTGTTAGTAGACATTAAGTTATAGAGCAACTTGTAGCTACTTGGTCCTCTTTTCTTCCTATAAATTAATGATTGGCTCTCCACCCGAGTCTAACATGCAGGAATATGCATGTTTTAGATAGATGTGTGACTACTCCCTTATCCAAACATTCTTCTCATCCGAACCCCCCTGGAGACAGCCCGCACCGATAATCGGCACTCTACTGCAGGATTCTAGCCAAAGGAGGTTGGGGTCGTGTTTTTTTATGCCAGTCAACGAAAATAAAGTCGATAGTCACTACCAGAGGGTTCAAACCGGCACATTTGTGTGGGGTGAAGTCCATAACTTTGAAATGTGCGTAACTCAAATTCGTATCGGTTTTGATGGGGAAAGACCAGAGATATGGCATGATGTGATATCGCTATTTCCACTAAAAGTGACTTGGACTCGCACCGGCACTGGCTTCTCTTCTTCTTCTTCTTCTTCTTCTTCTTCTTCTTCTTCTCAGGACCGTCGGAAGCAATTTTTGACTGGTCCAGCAGTAACATGGTCCTTTACACTTTGTATATGATATGGCGGGTATGCATGCCCTCCTCAGAAGTAAACATGTGCTAGTGGCCAACAAGTTGGTCCGGTAATAACCTGACCAACCGGACCGGTTCCGACGGGGCCTGTATCTTTATCTATTCCTCTAACTTGCAAGGTACGTCCTTGACAATGGAACTCTTGGTGGATTTTTGAGTGAGGGTGTGCACATATCGTGCTCTCGGGATTCCTGGTCTCGGTCACACTTCGTGGCGGTCCGATTAGTTTTGCTCGCAACACAGGCTTCCTACTTGTCACTGACCCTCGAGGTCTTGTCATAACAAAAGTAAACAAAAGAGTCGTGATTATTATTACATGCATTTTCATGTTGAAGTCCACCGATAGGCCCACTTCTTCGCTTGTGCTGGACAACGAAGGCAGGAGGAGTCGTGATATTTCCACTAAAACTCACCCAATGGGTGGCCGGCGGACTGAAGTGCCCGCAACTTCGGTGTCCGGATAACTGAGGTATGAGTGTAATTATAATTGTCTCTTTCTTACTCTTGGTACACATTTCAGTATAATTTCTGCACGGTCTAGAATACCGGTATTCATATGGCCTTGTTGCTGTAATGATTACAGCAAACAAATGTACCACTACATCACACTTGAACCATTTGCTTACCTTTCGTTTGATAAGGTCATACTTGCTTTGCAGTTCCAGCTCCTCCTTTGTCAGTGGAGGAGCCATTGTCTGACCTCTACTGTACTAGCCAGAAAACTGGAGCGAACTACAGCGTTACGTGTACTTACTTTGCAAGACAAAAACGGCATCCATCAAAGAAAAACTAATGATTCATTTCAAACCATTGCCATTGGACTTCAAGTCAAGTACTTGTACATGTAATTGTAGCTTTCACTTTTTTGGACGTGCACGATGTTGATCGATGATGACTTTGAAATCGAGTTCAAAAATCGTACTTGAACCGGGGATGTCCCTTTCTGGTTGACGGATACCATGGAAACAGTACACTCGCTTTGGCCCGCTTTTCGAACTAGGCAAACACAAGCCCAAAAAAGCCCAAAAAACCTCACGCAACGACGTTTCCTACAGATCCTGTACTGGCTGAAGCAGAAGAGTTTTGGAAAGATCCTTTATCTGTGCTGGTGGGAACGTGCTTAGTCATTATTGTAACCTCTTGAGCCCAAAACTTGTGAAGGATGGCATCTTCAGGCAACTCCCAATGGAAGGTATGTCCGTCTTGATTTTATGCACCGAAGAGTTGATCTCAGTGCAAGTCACTTTCTGCAGGCACCGAGAAATGTATGGCATTCTAATATTTTGCAAACTATAATAAAGTCATCCTTCAGCAAAGTGAAAAGAGTCTTATTACTATTAGCGAGTTCGTACGAGCCCCTGGTAGGATATCAGATGCTAGGATGTAGAAATATTGTTATCATAATCCAAGTGAATGCGCGAGTACGAGTACTGGACTACCGGTACAACGTGTAGTTGATTTTACTATTTTAGTACATGTTTTAGTACATGTTTGTGATGGCGCAGTACATGTACAGTGTACGACGTCGATCAAGGGGCTGAAGTGTTGTTGTTAGCGATACATGTACAATGTACGTCGAGTCTGGATAATGAGAGACCTGATATCAGATAAAACTTAACCCTGGTCGGTATACATAACAAATTGAAAGATCCTTGCGATACATCAGTGTGTTCATGTAGTGGAGAATGCATAATAATGCATGGTATTTTCCTGTTCCACGAGGATGGTGTAGGGGGTGTTTCCAGCTGATAGAGTGTAGAGTGTCGTACCATATACGCTATGCAATGGTGCTTACGTCAGCGATTCCTTCCATTGTCATAGTTGTGACAATGGAAGGAATCGCTGGCGTACGCACCATTGCATTGTAGAATGCACAGATTGATCTCTAGCTCTGAGGCAGCATGCACCTGTATTCAGGTTTATTGCACTGTTCTGTCTCTGAATTGTCAATTGATTTCTGTCTGCAGACACCCGATGCGAAGAGGGATGAGTTCCGGCGGTATCTGGAGAAGGCTGGCGTACTGGACGGTCTGACGAAGGGTCAGTGTTGAGAAACGATGTGTGTGTGTGTGTGTGTGTGTGTGTGTGTGTGTGTGTGTGTGTGTGTGTGTGTGTGTGTGTGTGTGTGTGTGTGTGTGTGTGTGTGTGTGTGTGTGTGCATTGTGATATCATCAGCCAGAAAGTTACGACCTGCCTCCTGGTGTCTGAAGCCTATTTTTGGGTTTTTTTACGCAGCATATTTTGAGGTGTCTGTGCAGTTATATTTCTCTTGCTCTTTGTTTTTTTGTTTTTTATCTACAGTCCTGGTCAACTTGTATGAGGAGCCTGAGCGACCCACACAACCACTGGGGTATGTTAAATGTGCTGGTGTAGATTGGTACTACAGCGACTTCTGTCAAAAAATCTGAAGCTAGAATGATAGCAAATAGATCACACCACTGAAAAGAGGCACCACTGCAGATTATAGTGGAAATTTCATCAAGAATCCTGACCATACTGGAGTTATGTTGGTATGCAATTGTCTTGGGGCATGTTGATGTACTTGTACTACAGGTGAAATCCTGATAATTCGAACCTCAAAATGCCAGGAAAAAACTTCTAATTATCCGGACATTCTAATTATCCAAACATGAACCCACAACTCAATATGTATGTCAAAATGCTCTCATGGTCACACAGAGTTGCGCTATGGACCTTAGACACAAATTTTACGGACACTGAACTGGCCAGCACAGCCTGCTCATGCAAACTGAACTGACCAGTACAGTGTACAGTGAACTTCGAATTACACTTTGCTAACTTCGAATTATCAGCACAAATCCCACACATTTTCTATGTAAAGTGGAATCTGTGGGACTTCTAATTAACCGGACATGTCCAGTTCGAGGTTCGAATTATCAGAAAATTTTATGTGGGAATCGTATTGATAGAAATCGGTCCTGGAAAAACTTCTAATTAAGCGGTATGTTCGAATTAAGCCATATTCGAATTATCAGGATTCCACCTGTACTAGTATACAGAACTGTATGCAGAGCAATGGTACAAAAGTGGGCTTCTTCGACCTCATGAATATCATGCATACACAGTGTATGTATGCACAATATGTTATGCGGGATTTGGGTGTTGTTGGAGGTTTGTGGAGAGGCCCTCGTACATGTGGGACAGGATGAGTTGTGCTTCGATGAATTGAAAATTGAAATCATCATATCCTGCTCAAGCATCTCAACCATTTCCACATTTTTAAAAACAGCAGTGGCCATGGATTTCCAAGCCAAAAGTCTGTTCGTTCGTCATGTGGAGCTCCTCACGACATGTGACACGCTGTTGGAAAGCTACTATGAAGTGGCTAATTTTAGTATTCGTGTATGTTGCCCATCATGCAAAAACTGAAGGTGCTTGTCACACGAATAACGTCTAGGCACATGGAAATGTCTGTCTTGTGCTCGCATGACTACCGTATAAGCTACTACCGTATAGTACCGCAACAGCGCCCCACCATCTCATCCTTTCGTGGTCGTGTTGTAATAACTTACCATTATTTGTTTTGGATCAGAGCCGCACTGAAGAGAGAGAGAGAGAGAGAGAGAGAGAGAGAGAGAGAGAGAGAGAGAGAGAGAGAGAGAGAGAGAGAGAGAGAGAGAGAGAGAGTCAGACCATAATCGTCTCTCTTCCTCATTTCCTGAACTTCAGTTCCCTACAAACAAAATAAGAACTGGAATGTGGCATGTTGCCTCCAAGAGGAGACTCTACCAGCCCCACTGGTGCCTCATGCACGGGTGAATTTGTCTTGAGGGAGGCTGCAGTGAGCCACTAGCGAGGACGTAAACCACGAGGCGAGAGAGCCATCAACCTGGTGAATTGACTCAAAGTTGCGCCGTACCACCATCATAGTACGCAAGCAACACATTATCCGGTGTGGTCTTTTCTTTGCCAACGCCTTTGCCAGTTCAAGCTACACCCTCAGCAGGTCCCTAATCGTCTGCTGCACTTTTCTTTTCTGTATTAGACATGTTTTTCTGTTTTCGTTTCTCTTCCTTTCCTAGGTTTCTGGCTGAGCAGCTAACTGGATCCTCATTTGTAGATGTTCCAACTCTACAGCAGGAAAACTTTGAACTCAAAAATAAAGTTCAAAAGCTAGAAGATCAGAACAGAGAGCTGCAAGCAAAGGTATGGTGCTCTTATGTTGTGTTGTGTATTTTTGGCACTGCAACTGCTCCAGGTGGTTGCAACGTTACTCATCAAATATTGTGTGTTGATGTTCAGTTTCTACACAGTGCGTGTGCACACTTGATGTTCATGGTTCTTCCTTGCAATGTCCTGCGTGCGTTCGCGTGTGTGTACAGATTGAGGAGCTGACAAATCCACCTCCCGAGGCTTGAGTGATCCGGTTGTGCGTCGGGCTTCTTCACCTTTCTCCTTGTTGAGCATACGTCTCTTCTGGTCTCAGCTGCCATCAATTTGTTCGGTCTCCAATCCATGCGTGCTTGATCTAACTGGATCACATTTGTAGCATTACGTCGATCACGACCAAGCTCTTAGTACATGTATAGCTTAGTGTCGCTGAAACCCTACAGCTGACTGTTATGCTATTTTTAGAGTTTTTATAGCAAGCTGACCTTTTATTAGCTCCTGACTACATACTACTGTAGCACAGTGGTATACCTGTATAGACGCGGTGTATATGTCACTCCTTTGTAAATAGTTTCCAGCAATGCTGTAATTGACTAACGTTACCTTGACTCATCTGGTATCCGCCGTGAGGTATGTGCTTTAACCTGTCAACTGTTTTATTGTCCATCGTCTTTTTGTTTTTACCTTTTATACTTTCTTTCTTTGTTTTTGACTAACAATGAATGACTTTTAAAATCATGCAGTGTCTCAACTTTGATTCATGCAGCTTGGAAAATTGGGCGATTGCCTTTTCTGTAAACGACCTTTTTTTTCATTACCAACTCGCGTATGTTGTCCTGGGTGAGAAAGTATCTATATACATTCACAATTCCACATCATGGGTAGCCTCTCTATAGTTGGCGGAGCATGAATCCATGATGTAAAGGCCAGGTGGGCAACTCCTCTCAAAGCTGAAGAACAAGTCTAAGGGGCCAGGTCCGTAAAATATACCAATAATGACGTGAGATCTCCTTTTGAAACATGGCCAACAGGCAACATGTACCAATTTACTGTCCACCTAGGTTTACAGCAGGGAGTCGTACGAGTCTCTGGTTCACAGTTTACACTGCTATGGTCGTACAGCCTTGCCGCGTCTTCATTCGCAAGGTTGACATCAACTGCATGCTTGCACAGTGCCCGTCCATATCTAGATATCGGCATTGTTCTGTCCCCGGGGAGAATCGCGATTCCGCGGCCGCTTTTTTTTTGCGATTTTTTAAAAGACGCGTTTCCGTGATTTTCCCCGCGTTTTTTGAACTTTTTTGTTGCACTACACGTACACACAGTGCACTGTTCGGTCAGCAACGTCTCATCGTGGCGGCTTTTGTACTCAAATATGACGAGTGCTTACACCAGAGACTTGTAACTGATTGATTTCACTACATACTCACTGAAAATTGCCTCATATCAACTGCAAACTTGCCGCATATCAATAATATTCACCGCATATTTACCGCAAATTATGCCATATTTACCCGCAAATTCTGGGATTTTTTCCGCGATTTTCCCCGGGGACAGATTGTTCTCACCAAGACAAGACGAACGGCGCCCAAACCCCTCCTCTCCCAAACAAACCAATATCTTCTCTAAGAAAAATGTTAATACTTGTGGACGACGCCTGAAAAGATTTAAAAAAAACACTAAAAAAAGATGTTGACAACACCAGGGATTGCTTTGAATGTCAACAGACACACGCCTAGAATGTTGGGGACAGGATGATGATGATGATGATGATGATGATGATGATGATGATGATGATTTTTTTTTTTTGATGATGATGAAGCCACTTCTTTGGGCAAACAAAACACAATTTCCCAAGATGAAGGAGTGGAACCCTACACAAATAATAGTTTAAATGAATCCAACGCAAAGATCGTTTTTCCATGAAATACAACAATTGAACACAATTACATGCTTAAAGGCATGAAAGCAACAAAACAGCAACAAAAGGGTAAACGCCATACCAATCCCGCATGCACAGTCAGGACACAGCACGATACTTAACAAACTAGACCTGACTCGGCCACGGCAATCGAGACATCATGAAAACATCTCGCCGGATGGTGGTACCGTGACCGAGCCCCACGTATGCACAACACAGCAGCACGCAGCAAAGCAAAAGACAGCCGACAGCGGAGTAAACCAATGACCTGGGAATAGTGAGATCCCGATGACTCGGCCTGCATCTGGCACAGTCTCTTGAGGAACACATTGCACAGCCTCCCACAACCACCATGCACAGAGAACACGAGAGGTGTGAAAGCGGCTCTTTCTACATTTGTGACTCTTGGCCCATATTCGTTCCACTTACGCCGCTCGTGCTGCTGGTACAATGCAGGAAGGGTTCTGGACCCGTAGGAAGGAGCATCTGGGCAAAATACCCTTACATCAAAAAAAGCTTCCTCCCCACGGGTCCAAAACCCTCGAGCGGCTATGTCCAGGCGCGCATCCTCTCGGCGGTTCGTTGACCGAAGAGGAAACCTCTCACCAGAAAGAGGTTGCAGCGCTGGTTCTGTCGAAACGGCAGTGCAGACTTCAGTCAATTCCCTCGCCAGCAGGTCACGTATCTCGTTATGACGAAGTGTCGGGAAGCCGCCCCTGGCGCAACATAGCTGATGCTCAACTGAGAACAGCTCACCACACACACAGGTTGCTGGTGTATTGGCTAGCGGCCATGCATATCTCAATGCCAGAGCATCCCGGAAGTCACGCTTGGTGAGACGAAAGCCATGCTCCGCCAGGGGCAGCACGCTCAGCCATGAGGATGATCCTTTCTCCGTGTGTTCTTCTATTCGTCGCTTCGTCATCTCATCGCTCGTGTCCACTATTTTGTTCCTGGCTGCCTTTGCGCGCTCCCGGTTTTCGGTGTGGACGACACGCTTTTTGTGACGCATTTCATCGATCATCCTCTGAAAGGGGGTACCAGCACCAGCAACATCAGCAGCCACATCCGGTCCAGGGTTTGAGTTGCCAGCGACCTCCCGCGGCTGCACCTCCGTTGCCGTCATCGTGGGAGTGGGAGACGCTCCACCACGGTCAGCAGTATCTGCAGAAGCCGGCACATCTCCAGCGAGAGAAATTGGATCGCTATCCTTAGCGAAATCGCCCAGAACCTCCTTCACCATAGGTCCGGACACTTGCTTGGAGCCCTGGTGCTCAAACCGTGGTCGAGTCGTGAGGTCCGGAAGGGCCATCCCACCATCCCGTGTCGGGAGCTTTAGAATATCAATGTCTTTCAGAGGCACGCTCGGTTGTCCCACGAGCTCCGGTAGAAGTGAGGAGTGAAGCTCCCGCTCCAACGGCGCCAAGTCCTCCGCAGAAACAGCCATAGTTCGAAACACATAGTTCCATCTGTTGACTAAGCCATGGGTCAACGCAGAGTATGCTGCATGCGGCTCTGATGCGGCATAATTTGCTAAAATCTCTGTATGTTTCGCCCACTCTTCTACTTTTGTCTCTTTGAATTCTCCGAGGAATGCCTCAGTCCCGATAGCAGCGCCCAGATACTGTACGCCACGAGACTTGACGTGGATAGTTGTGTCACCAAAAGTCTCGGCAGCCAAGGACTCAAAGCCAGGCTTGACGAGTAGTTGCGTTTTTGTTTCGTTGATGTTGTAGCCGTATTTTTGGCCCTCTTCCTTAAGGAGGTTGTACCACTTTCGCAATGGGGAGAGCCCTCCGGCAGCTGCCGAGTCATCTGCAAACCATCCCTGGCACACATCTGCAACATTGGTTCCGACTGACTTGACGAGAGGGGTGAGAGCCGTGGCATAAATGGCCATCGCAAGAGGGTCACCCTGGGTTGTGCCCTCCTGTGACAATAAAGACTGGCCACCACGCACAAAGAGGGATGCAGGGTCTTGGTAAGTATTCAATGTTATTTGTGCTAGCGGGGGGCATACTCGAGCAATATTGTGCAATGCAGCGCGGCGATTCAAGCTATTGAAGGCATTGCGAGCATCGACTAGCAACACTGCCTCAGCCTTTTCCGAAGCAAAGGCAGCCGTCATTGAGTGCACCATAGCCTCCACCCCAGCCGGGATGCCCGTGCAGGCCTGAACTGGTCCGCAGGCTTGCATAATGTCGGGTTTCATCAGAAACAATGCCGCCTTGGAGCACAGTCTACGAAACACTTCACATACCCCTATTGGCCGAACGCCAGGGTTCTTGTTGAGGGCAATGAGTCTGCAAGCTGTGTACGGTGTGAGTGAGCCGGAGGGGACTGAGTCGGTACAGATCAAGCGTGTGAAGCACGCCACTGCCTCACGCAGATCAGTAGATGCACCTTTGTAACATGTGCATAGCCGCCGCCAAGCATCCGCGTCCAGGCCGGAAGGACCCGCAGAACCATGCAGAGAAAGGGCAGTGCGTTTGATCAACTCACCATTGACGCTGGCGAAGTAGATACTGCTGACATTGCCCGCCTCCTCCTGAAGCAGGATGTCCGGTGCTGCCGGTGCCGACCCCGGATGCTTCCCGACGAGAATTTCACGGACTGACTGGGATTGATGAGAATCAGAAATGATGTCGTCCATGCCCAAGACCGGTTTATCACACTTGGGCTTGGTTGCATTATCCAGCATTCTCAGTGCGCAGTGAACTCGGCCCTGTTCCATCAAGTGGCCAAACTCATGAGCAGGGTCTTCGCCACGCCTGGATCTCCGATTCTGCGATGTCTTGAGCATATGCTGAATAGTTCGACCCTCCTGCACTAGCTCCATATAGGAACCCTGGATCCATAAATTTAGTCTGCGACGAGTGTGGTCAGAGCACTCTGCGGCAGGGCAATTCCGACCTACTCGCTGGAGCACCAACGCTGGAAGCAGGAAGAAACGATATAGAGCAGTGGCTTCCGCTCCTCGGGACGAATTGAACTTTTGAAGTTCTGACGTGAGTGTCCGAACAAACTCTTTGCCAACACTGCCGGTCGGAGCCCGGAAGAGGTTCTTTTCCCAACTCGCCACCTCCTGATAGATGTCAGCCATGTCAAAAGGCATGGAGACCCGAGGGGTGGTGGGAACTGGAGAGGCAGCGTCCGGCTGGCTCGAGCCAAGCACCTGCAAAAATGGATCCACATCCGCATGACCAGAACCCGTAGCCTGTAAATCGATATTCCCCGTAGATGGGCATAGCTGGGGTTGGGATGAGATAAGAGTGGACCGTGAGTCATCCTCCCCATGCACTGCCTGTTGTACAGTACCCCCAGCGCCCGAATCCACACTCATCAGTGGCGCACCAGAGTCAGATTCCTCCAAACTGGTAAGCAAGTCAACCTGAGATGCTGTCGGAATCAATGCAGTTGCAGCAGAGGTGCCACTCTGAATAATCTGGGGCTGAGAGCTCGGGACCCCAGGCACCGAAGCAACATTACGACAGGTGCCAAGTCGACCCCTCCCAGGATAGCAGTTACTACAAACTCTGCCAGCCCTGACACAAGCGCATCGTATGCACGTACCCCCTGCTTGGCAGCGACAACATGGCACCGCGCTGGCTAGACCGCACTCGACTATGTCACTTGGGGAGAATGGCGAGGAATCAGAGCTGGGATGAATCCCAAGTGGGTGATCTACACGCGGCCAGGAGTCGACATCGCGCCTGCCACTGCCACAACCCTCATCTGCAGATGCAGTGGATTCATCAGAGCTATCCTCCGGTGATATGTTTCGCTGAGATGGCTGGCTGGCTGAACATCCTCCACCACCACTGACCACAATACCAGCGCCAACAGCGCCAGCAGGCTGCGAGGCGATGGATTCAGTTTGGTTGTGACAAAGGCTAGGGGTAGCTCTACCAGGGTAGCAGTCCACACAGCGCTTCTTCGCACGAACACATCTGCATCTAACACATTTGCGACCAATCTGGCAGTTGCAGCACGGCATCGCGACAGAACTGGCAGGGATAGGAGGTGTGAGGATGACTGAGGTGACGACTGCATCAGGACTGTACGACCAGAGTCACCAATCGTGTCAGAAACTGCCTCCAGCAGCAAGGCAGTCACACTCCTCTCCTCACTGGTCTAACACTGGCCATTGGGTGGCCATTGGGTGATGATGATGATGATGATGATGATGAAAAAAAAAAAAAAAAAAAAAAAAAAAAAAAAAAAATGATGATGATGATGATGATGATGATGATCATGATCTGGAACTACCGTGAAGGAGGCACTGTTGCAAAAACATCCACCTGCTGCCGAGCCCCCGGTTTCGATACTTCTCGCCGGCGACCCGGAGCCAATCAACAGTATAGTGTTCCAGAAAATCACACCGGAGCTCATCCGACGTCTGGGCCGACAGATGAAGGGGTCCTCGGGCCCATCTGGTCTGGACTCTGACGCGTGGTGCCGGATGCTAACCTGTTATCGCAAATCGTCAGATGGTCTCTGTACTGCTCTTGCCAGCTTTGCCCAATGCCTGTGCTCGGAGGACTTGGATCCGGAACACCTATCCGCATTTACCGCCGCTAGACTTATTCCATTGGACAAACACCCAGGTGTGCGGCCGATTGCGGTGGGTGAAGTGTTCCGCCGGCTTGTGTGTCGTGCCGTTATGCGGGTGCTTGAGTCCGATGTACTGCGTGCTACTGCTCCCATGCAATTGTGCATTGGGGTGCCGTCTGCCTGTGAGGCAGGGGTTCATGCAATGCAGGAGTTGTTCGCACGAGAGGACACGGAAGGCATCTTGTTTGTAGATGCTACGAATGCGTTCAATTCATTGAATAGAAACGCGGCCCTCCATAACGTGCCCTATGTATGCCCCGCTATGGCAAAGGTGTTCCAGAACACGTACAGTTCTTCAATTCGTCTCTTCGTCTCCGGCGGCGGGGAGATTGAGTCACTGGAGGGTACTTGCCAGGGCGATCCGCTGGCCATGGCTCTGTATGGTATCGCTACAGTCCCGATGATTCGGCGCCTCCAGGAATCCAATCCATCTGTGGCTCAGGTTTGGTACGCGGACGACGATTCTGCAGGTGGCCGCGTTTCTTCATTGTCCACATACTGGGGAGACATAAGCCAACTGGGCCCTGACTATGGATACTTTCCAAACCCACAGAAATCAGTGTTGCTGGTCAAGCCGGAGCATGAGGAAGAGGCCCAGCGCCTCTTCTCCGCCACTGGAGTTACCATCAAGACCAGCGGCAACCGTCACCTCGGCGGAGCGATTGGCAGTGAGGAGTTCTGCTCTGCCTTCATGGCCAAGAAGGTGGATAAATGGAAGCAGGTTCTGGATTCCCTGACGGGGATGGCTGTCACTCAGCCTCAGGCCGCATACACCGTTTTTACGAAGGGTCTGTCATCCACATGGACATACCACTTGCGTTGCTCACCTTGTTCGGCTGAGATACTGGCCGAGCTTGATGAGAGGATCAATGATTGCCTGATACCTGCCCTTCTGGGGGATGGCGTTCGTCCTGGTAGCCCTGAGAGAGAGCTGATGTCATTTCCAGTGCGTCTTGGTGGTTTGGCCCTCCCTCTGTTGCAGGATAGTGCACCAGCAGAGCTCGCAGCATCCTTGAGCATCACAAAGCCTCTTGTTCAGCTACTGTTGACTGGCACATATGCGAACCCTCCAAGCGTGCCTGGTGATATGGCAAGGAGCGATTTGTCGGATACTGCCCAGTCAGAGGGCTCCGGTGATACAACCCAGGAGGTTGCCGACCGAGTGAGGCTCTCCAATCATGATCCCGTCCGCGATGCTGTTGGGGACACCCGCCAGCTGGCACGCTCGACTCGGACAAGCAAAATGCAGAGCCTATGCAGCCGGCAACAAGACATTAAGGCGGACTTGAGCTCGGAGCAACAATTTCTTGTTGAAATCGCGTCCGAAAAGGGAGTATCGTCATGGTTGACTGTTGCCCCGCGGTGGCAAGATGGAACCATCCTGAAGAAATCCGACTTCCGTGATGCCCTGTGCATCCGCTATGGGCGAAGGTTGAGTGGGCTACCCGATTCATGTGTTTGTGGTGTGCCTCTCAGCCCCGCTCATGCACTTACCTGTGCCACTGGCGGCTATACCATTGCCCGTCACAATGAGGTGCGGGACTTGGTTGCTGGACTACTGAGGGAGGCTGGAGTGGTGGACGTAGAGACGGAGCCCCGGCTATTGCCCTGCAGCAGTGAGCATTTGCCTGGTGGTCGTTCCCTCAACCGATGCGCAGAAGCTCGTCTGGATGTGCGGGCTCGCGGCTTTTGGTCGTGGCAACAGGACGCTTACTTTGATGTGCGGATCACTCATCCCGCAGCGTCTGTGTTGTCTCGATCACAAGCCCTGAGTCAGCTGAAGTCTCACGAGCGAAACAAGAAAAATCAATACGCCAGCCGTGTGGTTAACGTGGAGCGCGGCTCCTTCACGCCACTTGTGTTCTCGACGTACGGCTTTAGTGGCCCAGAAACTACTCAATTCCTGAAATCATTGGCCTCCCTGTTTGTTGAGCGCCATACTGAACTGAAGTACCCACTAGTAATGGGCATACTACGCACCCGTTTGTCTTTCTGCTTGCTGCGATGGGCAGTCACCTGCTTCCGCGGTTGCCGCGGTTCGTACGGCAAGAGGCGACAGCCGAACTCATTTCTGGCCCAGTGCCGCCAGGCGGAGTAGGGTGCTGCCTTTGGCCTCAACTTAATATAATGCTATTTGGTTTTTCCCCTTTTATTACTCTGTGTTCATTGTTTGTTTTTGTATTGATTTACTTCCTTGACTGCTTTTGTGTTTCATCATTTTCCGGTTGGTTTTGTGTTGATTTCCCCTGTTCACTTTACATAATATTGTAATGATATACATTTGCTTTGCCCGTAAAAGAGGCTTTTCTCATGATGATGATGATGATGATGATGATGATGATGCTGATGATGCTGGATAAAGATAAAGGTAGCACATTGTCAAGCACATTGGCCGTTGTGGTTGTCGACCACAGGAAAGTAAGAAAATAATGATACAAAACCGCCCTGGAATGTCCAGGAAAGAGATGTTGAATGTCCAGTGGGAGTTCAGATGACGGTGAACGTTTGTTCGACATAGCCAGGTGCCGACTGGATTCGCGAAAGCTTGGATAAGACCAAATAAGTGCACTGTGCCTTACTACCCACGTTCGGCATAGAGCGTAACTCATTCACCGTGAAGTGGCCGGCTGGAACATCTGCGGGGTGTAACACACAAACACACAAACACGCACACATCCACACAGGAAACAATCATTCAGAGATGACTACATACATGTATTCACAGTCCTGTGCCTGAAAAGTTGTGTACGAAACTGCAGAGCTGCTGAGAAAAGCTCAAACTATACTCATGATCCAACAGACGCATTGCACCATGCATAAGACAGAGCATTCAACATACAAGTCATGAACATGCAGATACATGAAATACAAAATACATGAAAAAATCTCCGGAAGTAAGTAAACTCACCTCCCCGAGGGTGTCGAGTGAGATGATTGATCGCCATGACCACATCACAGATCAGCTGATACGTCAGCTGATAGCGTAGGTATTCCGGCATGCTCAGGTACTCGCCCTCGGTGACCGTTCTGATCTGTGACATGCCGGCACTGCCTGAAGGTTGCGGCGTGTCGACGGCAAGGTCCACATGACCAGTGGCAGTGGTGAAGCTGGTGAGAGTACGGTCCGCGTCGCCCATACCCGCATCAGTAGAGTGAGCAACAGCGGCTGTACTAGCACGCGCTCCTGGTGGCAGAACACTCACACTTTGAATGTCAGGCATTGCAATGCCAAACGCACTTGGATCGGTCGCAGACGCACCCGCCGTTGCCGTTTGCGCTTGAGTAGCCGCCGCTGAGGAATGACAGTGCCGTGAAGCTGTGTTGAATGCGGAGGATGACGTGGATGGTGTTGTGTAGTACGATGCAGGGTCTGCGTAAGATTCTCTGCTATGCTGCACTGTTGACGGCCGGGGCGTCTCAGGATCCAAGCCTGGCGCTGCTGAGTACGCATGCATCATGGAAGAATCCATCGTTTGACCCTGGTAATCAAACGAAGAACAAAAATGCAACGGAAACAAGTCTGTCCAAGACTGAAAAAAGAGCGACGTAGCGAGTACATGTGAGTTATGAGTGCACTGTATGTGTCATACGTGCAGAGGGAAAGAACCGAGGTAGACCTTGCACAGAACTACAGTACTTCTGTATTGCTCACACACCATCTATGCACTGAGCTAGGAAGCACTTCTATCCAAGAGATGTGTGATCGAACAGGGGGTGTGCACTATGAATACATGTGCAAGAGAGACTTGCACATAAGCAAATCGAGAACAACAAAATATGTTACACCTCTAAGCACTGAAAATACGCTGCGTAGACCATCTACGATGCATGAACCGGAAACAATGAAGCGACCTGCTATGGGGTAGACTAGCTTAACAGAAAACACAAGAAGAGCTTACAGGGGTGAATGCACTATTGATCTGGCTCGGTTGTGCCGGTGTAGGCTGCACTGATGCAGCACCATTGTACGGAATACCTGCTGACACAAGGTGCCCGGGCATCTGGTGATGTGACGGCTGCTGAGACTGATTGGTGAATGCTGAGGACATGCTCGCCCCAGTATATCGCGGATGTTGAGAAAGCGGAGTTTGGTACGGATCTATTCACAAAAACAAGTCAAAAGCGAATGTCACGAACAGCAAAGCAGGTTTTCGCAGTTCACTCCCAAATCGAGTGCACATACACGTGCATCAGGGACAAATAGGAATCCAAATTGATCTCCTTCATTGTAGATCTATGACCCTGGGGGAGGGGTGCGTGCGACCATACACCTATTACCAAGAGTGAATAAACAAGAGTATGCAACTGTGGTTCTGGGTCAGTGCGCGGCGCGCTGCCTTCATTACGTAACTTGCCTTCATCACGCTCTGAAAGAAGCACTCAAACCCACAATTTCCCGTACGAGCCCATCCGTTTTTGCTCGATTCGTTCCAGTACCTGCGCGATCTCTAAATGTTGGCGCGTGAACATGCGCATATTGCAAAGCGCCCATTACCAGTCTCCCAATTTTTGGAATCTCTTGCTCACGGAGCACCGTGGCCACCCGCATCCCCTGTACGCACACTATGGAAGTTTGGTTTCATGCTGCTTGATATCCGCCTGGCACCATTGTTACAAAAATGGTGAACATTAGTTTTTACCGCAAGAAAATCACATGTGCAGACAGTACGAGCCTACCGGAAGCTCCAGAATTGCCGATGATGTGCATGGTGTTGTCCCCAAGAGAGTCCGACATCGGCATGCCCGAAAACCCAGCCATCGACGTCATGGTGGCGCCATGATGCTGATGGGTGGCTGCTGACGCCAAGCCAGTGCGTTGCATTGGCCCAAGGACATGAACCGACTCAATGCTGCGAACCAAAAGGAAAAGGAATACAAATGAAGCAACATTTCACCAGGAAGCGTTGTACGGAAAAGAACAAAGCATTCGAGAGCAAGTGCACTGAAACGCCTCTTATCCGGATGCCTCAGATACGGGCACGTCTCTCTACCGGGCACCTTCAGCTTGAGTTCCTACGGCAAAAATGCTGTGAATTTGGGGGGGGGGGGTTGAACTTTTTTCGTATGCGCAAGTGCTTATTTTGTCACTGCCAGCCTGTGAAATCCACACATTTTTATCAATGGATTCTTTCTGTAACCTGAACATGTGCAATACGTGCCAAATGAACTTCTTCAAGAAATGATATGATACATGGTAGATGAGATATCCTGAGATACGGGCAAATCTGAGATACGGGCAGTGCCCGGTCCCAAGGGGCCCGGATAAGAGACGTCCGAGTGTACATGCAAAGCACAAACAAATGGCATACGTGCACAGCATACATGTACAGTTGAACATCGATTATCCGCACATCGACTATCCGACCATTCGATTATCCGTAACAGTTTTTTTGGGCGCACGTGCCGTAGAGTACGCACTGTGCATGTAGTGAGCCATTCAAAAAAGACGAAAATTTTGAAAAGTAGCACTCTATTCTATTTACAATGTACATGTACATGTATTTACAGTGTGTTTTCTTATCCGGAACATTTGCCTTATCTGAACACCGCCTGACAGTTGTCTGCCCAGAGGTGGTCGGATAATCGATGTTCAACTGTACACCTCAATTTTTCCTCATATCTAGAAGTCAGTCTCGCAATCCCAACAATATGCAGTACTTGTAAACACACATGACAGGTGAGGGTGGCTATATGTCTGCAAAAGGCTTACTTGAGCTGCGCCACCATTCGGTCCAAATCATCGCTGTTCGGCGTGTGATGAATCGGCGGACGGGTGCGCGGAGCTACTGCTGACGGTGCCACTGACGATGGCATGCTGGCAATCTCGGCTGCGTGCGTACGTGCCTGATGCGCCTGATTGCCACGGCGTAGCGTGGCCAGGGTGTGCGCGGAGATGCCGGCACGTTCTAGCGTAGGTGTGCTATTGTCCGCCGCAGCCGCCGTGTCTTGTACACGCTCCACATTCGACACGTCAGGCGTCGGAGTTGTTGGGCAAGCAACACTGTGTCCGCCACGATCAAGTTAAAGGCAACCATTGGATACTGAACAGGAGATTCATCGTAATCCAGCTGAGTTCAACAGTGTGCAACATTCTCTTCTCAGCCTCGGGCCATTATTTCCACGGCACTAGGCGGAATCAACATGAATAAATTCAGACCACGCTATACATGCAGAGGGTTTCAGCTATAGCATGAAGCTTGCATGTACGCATGAATACATCCGCAGAGTTGGCAGGTCAGGTGTTTTCTTTTCAACAATACAGCATACCGAGAGAAGCGGACACACCAAATGAGAGGAGTCACTTCACCCTGTAGCCTTTACATATTTTACTGCATATTTTATTTTTACAATCAGGACCGGTGTGCTGCTGCTTTCTTTGCTTTTATTTTTAAAACTAAAAAAAGAGAGTAAATTATCGTGTCTGTTCCCGAGGGAACTCATGACGGCCGCTAACACCCGGGCCGGTAAATCCAGCGACAGATACAGCGCCTAACGGTGGAGGTGATGAGTCTCACAACCACTGGCGCAAGTGCCGCATCCGTGTACCCCCTTTAAAACTAAACTGGTAATAAAATACATCGCAACGGCCACAGGCACGCACTTTGAACAAGGATACGTTGTAGGGGGAGATGAGGGTGTAGGCTCGTTCAAGCTTCCTGCATAAGAGCACAACAAAAATAGACCCACATAATGGTGGAAAATTGACAGAAACCCCTGCCTGCAAAAGCAACCAGTGAACATGCCATATCATGTGCAGATGAAGGGCTGCTACAGGATGGTAGGCGACGTATTCGGCCGCCGTTGAAGAAGGCTTCATCAATAGCAATATCAACAGCTTCATTGTATGCTGCACTGCCTTATGTCAGTTGTTGCCATGTTTCCACTGCCAGCTATTGCATTGGACAACAGGAAAATGACTTGCAGGATTGAATGATGCGTGTAATCAGTGTGAACTTGGGACATGAAGAGTATCTCACGAGTATTTCATTCAAACCTTGACTGCTATATGTGTACATGATGTACTTCATTCAAGCACTGCAGTCCAGACCCACCTCGATCGTATCCATATTGCTCCAGGAAGCTGATTGCCGACTCCAGTCCTTGGCGACATCGTTCCAGCGTGCTTCGGCAAGCCGTCAGCGCCTGGTTATGCTCTGCGTGCGTAGAGTTGGCGGCCGACAAGTCGTTCACACAGTTTGTCTGGAAAATGGCCAAAGGCACACAGTGTGTGACAAGTCAGAAATGAAATTTTTCACTGTAGTGATAAGAATACAGAATTCGAAACTACACCATCTGGAAGCTGATAGTGGTTGCTCGTGCTCGATACACTTCAATGCAAAGCTGTACACGCCGATGCTCACTCATGTGTGAACTCAGGGTTACAGCAGAACAGTTTGTCAATCTTTCTTTCTACGTGAATGTGCCCCTTGGTATGACTGTTATGATGGCCATTATTTAGCCCGCTCCACACTGCGCTATTGTAGCTCACCCACATGACTCACACATCTTCTCTGGGATGTTTATGTGGGTTTGGGTGGGAATGGGGTGTCACTATTAGGACATGAATCTCAAGCGGAAGCTTCAGAAGCCTTCCTCACTGTAGGGTTCACATAATTATATCGACTGTTGCACACATATTAGCACCCTGCACTGTTTTCCTGCTGGTGGTGGCGTGTAAAGTGTGCGTGTTAGCCAAACGCGCGGTTCACAGTGGTGAAGAGAGTCAGTAGAGCAAGGCATGATGCTGCCCGCTCTTTTTATGGTTGAATGGCTTGTAGTAGCTACTGTGTACACCGCTGACCATCTTGTCGTAGTGAAATTGAATACTGTGGAGGTGTTGCGTGGTGTCCGAATGCCTCACCGGCTCGCCAGCTGCACCATCATTTATTGACTTTGTGTGTTCTACTGCCAGTACAGTCGTCCCTCTCTAATCCAGCACCCTCGATAAACCAGCACAATTTTCAGTAGCCAAAATGTCCTCTTCATGCACATTGCAGCAGTAAATCCGATTTGTCAATCCAGCACCCTCCCTAATCCAGCAGATTTTCTGTGGCACAAATGGTGCCGGATTATAGAGGGACCACTGTGCTGATAAATCAGGATAATGAGACAGATACGTGTACCACATGCATAGCAATGCCACTCATACTTCTGCTGCTGCTCTTGGGCGTGGGGAGTTTTAGTTGTTACTATACTAGACTTCATGGTGACCAGTTCAACCAGTCACTCTGAGCTGAGCTGATCAGACCTACATGTACCTGAACAAGGTGGAGGTTGAATACTACTTGTTTTGCTTTATTATTATTATTTATAATACATGTGCCACTGTGTAATGTAATCCTTAGGATGTGCATTGTGCATGGCAAGCCAACCTTCAAGGTAGACGCATCCGTCAATATGGTTCTCAAGTTGTCTAGCTGTTCGGTGGATTCCGTGTCTGCTTCGAGCGAGTCTTGCAGCTCTTGGCGACCCTTCTCGACCCTCCGCGCCAGGGAACGCAGTTCACCAAAGAATGTATCCTTCACCTGCTCGTCCATCACACAGAATGAACTAAAGCAATACTGAGAATTCCTAACGTGATATCCTCTTCGATTCGCCGAGATCCCTCACTCGTGTGTCACACTTGTTGGTCTACCTTCGTGTTCGTGGAAATACAAGAACCTTTTCAGCAGAAACTGTTACGATTTCAGCTTCAGGCCAGGCACACTCACAGTCTCACTCTGTACTACAAAGCGATCTTGCGAAAGCCCATGACCTAGCACTACATGCAGTCAAAACTCGACGTGGAATCGTGAGGCACTGCATCTACTGATCTAGGTGTAGCACATTCCTGTTCTCGACTTGGCAAACTGACAGTGACACCATCAGCAGTGCGCTTGTCTTCTTGGTGCACAAGCCTTCACAAAATAATCACAACCCACTTCACTGCACAGAGCTAGAGAGTGATGACTGTTCAGTTGTAGTGGCAGAAGCATCTGTGTTCATGGTGTTGGCCGCTGGACGAGGCAAGTTTTTTTGTTTGGCATTCAAATCTGACGCCATTTCACCGATGTCATGGCAATTGTCTATGCAGTCGCTTTTGTAAATCACGAGACACGAATGAACGAGTGCAAGTACCGGCAGCCGCACACGAGTCACCAGGGCTGACAGTACATGAACACCGCCGATTCAGACAGTGCTGAGGATCAGATGGTCCCAAGCTGCAAGACGACAGGACCGGGGCTCTGCCAACCGTGGATGGTTGTAGTAAAAAGGGGCACTGTTTCCCGGAACACAGTGGTCCTCCGCCTTGTAACATGCTGTCAACCAACAACGAGTCTGCTACTGTACAATGTCATATACAGTCAACTTCGCTAATATTAATAACGACTGCGGATATAACGACAATTCGCGAATAACGACAGAATTTCCATGCCCAGAGCAAAGTCCCATCCCACTGTAATACATATAAATGAGACTTCGGGTATAACGACACTTCGCGAATAAGGACACCTTTTTGATGCCCCGCCGAATGTCGTTATAAGCGAAGTTGAGTGTATCCGACAAGGCGGAGGACACTCTGCATCAGGGAACACTACAATTGATCTCACATGTACAGTACATGAACCGTCCATTGTAAAAACCAAGTTTTTACTAGTAGCCTGACGATCTACTCCCTGGTCATGCTCTGTCTTGAAACCACTGGCACTGACGGTCCACATGGTTGTGTCCTCCGCCTTGTGAAGTGATCGGACTCCCTGCTGGTAATCTAGTCTCAAAGTCTCAGTACATTACGGCATTTCCATGATGATGACAAGACCAGGGAGAAGTTCCAACGTAGATCTCCGAGTACTACGGCCCTGGTTCAGACCCTCTGTACTCTAACGGGGAGGGGGGGGGGGGCACGCCGGTCGCAAAACCGAGGCCCTGTGAACCAGGCTCTGGTCACGCAGCCAGCACTATTTCTTCTTATCAGTTATACAGTGTGTCCACCGCCTTGTGATATACTGTCCTTATCATACATGCACAAGCTCACAAGCAAGCACGGCTTTTATTTGCAAAGTTTGACAACACCGGGTGGACATTCGGATGTGCCGGGGAGAGCAGACTTGCATGTACATGTAGGGTACCCTGTAATGGCCCAATGTTCATCACCAGTAATACTACAAGCAAAGAGGAAAGAGGAAGGTGAATGGCAGGGCAAGTGGATCAGATACTGTTAGGTTTCGCTCAGCGAGAGAGAAGGGTATGAGAGTAAAGAGAAGGTTCTAATATGAAATAGACAATACTAATCTGAGTTCTGATAGTTCTGAAGGGAATACGGTTCTAATAGCTCTCAGGGAATAGTTCTGAAGGAAGATAGCCAGGCAGCGGTTTTTATACTAAAGCATAGATGACGAAGGCAGGGAACTAAAGAAAGGTTACAAAAACTACTGAATAGAATAGAAGAGCGAGAATAGTGGAGAAGGTAAGCCTAGATCATCAGTGATACATATATATGAGCATTATAATAACATACAGGTATGGCCTGGCACGAGGAAAACATGGATGCAGTGAATGGGATTTTCGGTCTTTGACCACTTGCTGGTGAGCTGATCTACTCACCTCCCACCGCTTTAGGAGCTGCATCTGCGCCTTGATCCTTGAAGGGTGGTGGCGTTCCTACGGATGCGGAAAACCCGGCTTCCAGCCGAGTCTCACGCGAACCGTGAATTTATTTTTATTTTTTATGACTAAAAGGGAGATTCTAGAAGGTGAGATATCTACATGTATAAGATGCAATTGAGTTGAGTCACAAACCTTATTCATCTCATAATGACGTGGCCCAGGTATGGAACAGTCGCGGGAGTGTCAGTGTGGCCACTGTAAAATGTTGGGTGATCCTGAGAACTGCCAGTGTACTGCCAGTGTACTGCATGTATCTGTATGTAGGTAGAGTTTTGATAGAATGGTGGGGCTGACTTACTAGACATTTCCACAGATGTGGCTGAAGAGGTTCTTGTAGTAGGTTCAGGAAGGAGAATCAGCGTTGACAGACACTGCATGCGACTGGTCACCATAACGCGATGAGGTAGGTTATTGTCCAGGAACTCAGCATAAGCCTTCATAGCAATTTCATTTTGCGAATCTTCTTGAGCACGTGCTAGCCATCGCACACCATTGATGACAGCCAGAAACACCACCAGAGTGACGAAGAGCACTTGAACGAACTTCATCTTGACGAATACGAGGAGAAAGATTTGTGCAAGAAATTGAATGCTGGCTATGTCGGACTGAATCACCATGGTCGGAAATGGCAATCTCAGGTCGTCGTGATATTGCGTTGGGTTTTCGTGGAGTTCAGAGTCGCTGTTGGGGGGGGGGGGGGCAATTGTTTCAGTAAGGAATACCGGGAAGCGTATGATAAATGAGCGCAGTGTAAAAAGGCGGCTAGTAACTATTGTTACCGCCTTCTTCAATTGTTTAGGAATCGCAATGAACAGAACCAGCTGAATTGAATCAGGATCATTCTCGCCTTTACACATGTCCCCTCTACTCTGTATGTCAAAGTAGAGGGGATATGTGGCAACGCAGGTTCCACTTGATGGCTGGTGCAGATGCTTCCCCCTCAGTGTACTCGTATTGCATCGAATTGTAGAGTTGTGCACACAGAGAGGGAGTCGTCCGAAGTTGCAGGGTTGAGCTGTCGCATGGCCCGGGAGTCGAGGCCAGAGAGGAACTGGTCTTCGGCGAGGATGTCGTGATCAGCAGCTTGCAAGTACTTGACAAGTAGCTAGTTCGGGCAAGCCAACCAAGCTGACCTGCGCACAGCCTCGCACTACTGGCCCAATGCTGCTTGAGGGCGCTGCCGTCTCATGTGGAATTCACGGCTCGGCCCGCGGTGAAGGTTGGTCCATCGGGGTGTGCACGCTTGAGAGCGAGACTCAGAGGTTCTGCCTTGCTTCCATCGCTCAACTGAGCAACATCTAATGCGAGTACTGATGGACCGTGAGTCGGCCATTGGCATAGTTTCGACTCCTGGGTAAATATTGGCGGCTTAGACGCGGGCTGCTGCTCGTCGCTAGCACCCTATTAGTAGTATATCATGATTATGTGGCCTCGACCATACAGGTTCATGTACATTCCTGTTATCATGACGGTATACCGGATTCCCTTCTGTGGGTTTGATATAATTCCTACCAGGTTTGAAGTTTGGCCCAGCAGCTTGTGCCATCGCTTTCATCATCAGTCGTCCTCATGGCATCCCGGACATTCCAATGGATATCATACCAGCAACCAGGATACTGTTGATGCGCACCAAGGCAGCTCAACTGTCACGTCACGCAACGAACGAAGCAGTTTTTATAGTTCAACACGCCATACCGTCACGGTATACCACCAATTATTGTATAGCATGATTGTTTAGTCGTTTGGCAGAAGCTTGCGCTGCAACACAAATGCAGGATCCGGCGCTATGACCGCTCTTAGGCCTATACTAGCGCGATCGCTGCAAAACACCATGAAGACTGAGTGAAGGGCGAACACGTGAGTATCATCGACGACAGCTGAAGTCACCTTGGCATGTCCTCGGGAATAGCGCAGCCCGCGACTAATTATAACACGGCACTTCCGGCATATCTGACCCGCTCGGCGAGTTTGGAGATGTGTTGCCCCCAAGTCACAAGTGTGTCAGTAGCTGGAATCTTTTATCTGGAGATTCAGAGCATGCTCTGGACACTGGAAAGGAGAGTCTACACCGGAGTTGTGGCAGAAAGATCAACTATTTTAAACGACGTAAAACGACCCGGAGAGTTTGTTTGTGTTGTGTATGCGTTTTGTCCGGACGACACTGCGTAGAGCTAGAGCTACACGACAGACAGAAAACAGAAACAGACACTTTACTGTCACGTGCCATGGAATCCTGCACTGCACATAATTATGACATGTACATGGCCATACCGCCTTACCGGTCCTCATCATCATGCTTCTATTCCCCATTTTCACGTTTTTATCGATTCATGTGTTTTGTATTCCTTGTCCTGGAGTTCTGTTTGGTCGTCTTGCGTGCTCCTGGCAAGAGAGTGGTTTGAGCAGAGCCGAGTTGTCATTGCTGGCGACGAAAGTCTGCAATGGCCGCTAACGCTAGTCGGCAGCAATAGCGCTAGTGGTGTGTCAGTTGCTTGAAACATAAAATTTGAGCTTTCTTTCTTCATTCATAACACAACTCTGCCCAATCCGGCACTGCTGCTCACCATGGAGCAGAGTCTGCAAGCCATGGTGAAGGAGATGGCGTCCGGACCTGCCGACCGGGAGAAGGACATACGAGAGGCGTGCGAGAAAGCGCTGATACTGTTTGGTGAGCTGGTGGCATGTGGAGTGCATTGCCCAGCATACTATTCCCCGTTATGTGTGAGGCTCATTGTGCAACAAAATTGAAACTAAATGCTTGAAAGTCAAGTCTTAAAATTATAAGAGAGGATTGGTACTATGTGCAACGCTAACACAATGATTCAACTTTCGGCAAACACACCGATTAAGTGGGTCTAGACGCACGAGCACATTGTGCAACGGTGCTATCGCTCCATTCTGAAGGGCAACGGGTATAGTGACTAGAGCGCTGGGTTGATGCACTAGCAATACTGAGTGCATGCTGATAGTACTGGCTCCTCTCCAACCAGCTCCTGCTTGTGGCACTGTTCTGACCGTGACTATCATGGGTGTAGCCAGTTCAATAATGCAGAAGGGTGCGTGGCTGGGACAACCTGTGCATACTTGTATAAATACGCAACACTCTACAAGGCCATAGCACCGATATCTCAGGTGCCGGTCTGGCCAAATGGGATACATGTACTTTGCCGGAAATGACCCGTGATTGTTAAAAAAAAACTCGTCTTGTACGAATTGGGCAGGTCAACTTTTTCGAAACACATGTATACGGTCCAGCCATGGCCGGACTGGGTGCTACGGCCCTCTTCAACACGTGGAGTACAGCATGATAAATGCATTGAGATTTTTGCTTGCCTACATGACTGTATAGCAATGAGCCAGCACAGTGGACTTTTCTTCAGTTCCTACATGCACGCAATGCATCCTGTAGCGTAGTGGTGTTGATACGTCAAACCATGTACTGTATGTACAGTGGCGCTCTTGATTTGAAGGGAGGGGGGGGGGGGGGAGCATTCCATGTCACTTTGGATACAACTGACAGTGTGACGCACCCAATGGCATAGAAGATATGATATCCTTAGCTTAGGCGTTTTTAAAGTATACTGCTAGTCCCCTCTACTGTTTCCGAGGCTGTGGTGTGAGCAGTGATCCAGTGAGCACAGCACAATGATGTCATCATACATAGCACAATGATGTCATCATACATAGCACAGTTCTCAGTGTTCTGTGAGCTGCTGGTTAGTGCCAATAGTGGTACTTCAAGCGGCGGACATCAGTCACATCATGTCCCGTTGTTCTGTACACTGTTCACCAGGTCAAGCGTCACTTACCAATTTAGTGCAGGAGATGAAGCAGTCTTGGTAAGCACACACCACTGTACTGGCCCTGTGTCAAGTTGTGCGTTGAACTGCCTGAGTGAATTTCAATAGTCGAGATGCTCAGGTTTTGCAAATTTTTGGCAAGGTCTATAAAAAATGTTTTCAGTTCTACTGTACTTGGATGGTGAGCCACTTTAATTTTTACCATAATTTTTGAGTTCTCAACACCAGTTGGCTTGTCTTTGCTTGACCTCTCATATACAATCAATCTTGCGAATAACGCCCTCGAAATGGCATGAGAACGTGTTGTTATTTGTGAGGTTGAAAGTATGCAAATGGTCCGACACTAGGTCCGAAGATTGTGTCGTTATTCCCGAGTTGTTGTTATACCTGAAGCCGTTATTCATGAGGTTGACTGTACATGCACTTGCTGGAAGCAAAGGCAGTATTTCAGGCAAGTTTCAGGCAAGTTCATGATTCTGAAAGACTTTGGCAGTTCTGAGCCAATAAATCACAGTGGGTGGTTTTTGGATTCCTGTGTTGTTGAGAGTGCGTGCTCATGCTGTACTGAAATGATGTGACACTCTGGTTTAGGGTCAACTGTGTTCTCCTCTTTTCTTGCCACTGTACTGCAGGGGTGGCTTTGTCCAGCCTTTTCAGCTTGGCCTGCGAAGCCGTTCAGCACGGGTTGTCATTCATTCCCTGCAGGGATTTCAGGTACTATACGAGTAGGCTAGCTTCTTTCACTTGGTGTGTGCAGCTTTTAGTCAGGTCCTGCATTCCGATTCCCCCAGAATAACATGCATGCAGATGATAACAGTCATTGGGATTAGATTGTTGGGAAATTTTAGAGCCATGCAATTTTCAGTGCTGCCAACCAACTGGGTTTGTTTCGCTTACTGCGACTTCTGATTTTCCGTACTTTGCAGTGCTTTTACGTACTGCCAATATACTGTCGTGTTCATTGCTTGTGTCGTGTGTTTTTAACTTTTGTTGGACAGTCACGGGCGCAAGACACTCGTCGTTTGCTGTATTTGCTAGTGCGAAATATTTGTGCCTAGTACCACGCTGTGATTTGTTGTGCTATATGTAGTCGTAGTGTGGTATAGACTCGCTTTGACACAGGGATATTCATTGCTCAGCTTGCACTTGCCATGCTTCTACATGTTTGATTGATCCTCTTCAATTTCTGACGTTTTCCGTACCATTTTGCTCAAATTCCGTAGTGCGGACGAAGAAGTGACTTTCCGCACAAATACGGAAAGATACGGAAGGTTTGGCATCACTGAAGTTTAAGCTTGACTACACCAGCCGGCATAGCACGAAGCACGGCCCGGTGAACTCTGTCCAGACCTCCTATCAGGGAAAGACAATTGAAACTGGAGTTCCTCTGTTCTATGTGCTTGTAACTAGGGGTCAAACGGGTGTACCTTTAACTAACGAACGGGTAATTTTCTTAACGAACGGGTTAACGAGTACCCTTTAGCAGCCATGTTTAATTTTTTTGCGCAATTTTCACGTTAATCAAGATATAGTTTATCTGTTCTCGGGTTGTATTTTGATATCACATTGTGATTCGCAAATTGATTGGTGTCTGATAGTCGCAGATGTAGATCTACTAGGTGCGAAAATGCAACAACAATGCAGACATCCAGCATGGAGTTGTAAATAATTGACTCCCGCCTGGAATACACGATCCCTGCAGTGTTGCTTCATACTGACTGGATCATCGAAATCCAAACGGGTACCCTTTTACTAACGGTACCTGAGATTATCGGGCGGGTACCCGTGTACCCGGTACACCCCTTTGACCCCTACTTGTAACCGTCTTCTGTTCCCAGGCAGCTGCCTACTCTCTGTTGCAAAGCGAGATGGATGGTACGTCTCGTGAGCACCTGATTGGTATTGTGGACAACATCCTTGGTCGGTGTGCATGGTCGAGCAGCGATGTGCAGCTTGAGAGGGTCAAGGTGAGTTGAAGATGCACTGCACAATTGCGTAAAGATGATAACTGTGGAGCAAGGCGTGTAGTGTTGTTACACCGAGTTTCACACACGTTGTGCAATCATCAGACCACATGGGGATCATGTGCTACAACAATATATGCAATGAAGTGAGGGTGTTGATAGCAGAGATTGTGAGAGATTAGCGCCAGGAACTTGCAGTGTAGGTAGATAATATCTACTATATCACACTTGAGAGGGAGGGGTTTGGGGTGCAGTGCTATGTTTGGGTGTTGGGGTACTAAAAACTGAGCGCGGCGAGTAGGATATAATCTGTGTGTATAGGACGGTGTGAGTTTCAGTTCTTCTGTTGGACAGCTATACAGGCTGTGTTGCTTTGTTGTTGGTGCGATTGTGAGGCTGTGATTGTAGACGTGGTTAGGTGATACTGTGGTACAGGTGCTGCAAATGTGTTTTGGATAAGAATGGTATAGTTTGTTCTCTGTTTGAGATGTTTGAACAGTTCCAGGACGTTGCTCTGACAAGTGTTGCAATTTTCCTTGTAAAATATTGTAGCCATTGGGTAACAGATGCTCAATTTCGAAAATGTTATGTCACAGTATAGACTATAGATGCAGGCCTGACAGGGTGTTTTAAAGATGCTTTACACTGATATCATGCATGCTGTTCTATGTCCTTGTGATCTAAATATTTCCTGCCTCCAATCCGGACACCTTATGCAGCTCAGCTGTGTGTTTCTCTGTGGCTTGTTGGTAGGTTGTTCTAGCTCTTGTGTGCGCCAATCCTTCTTTTGTCCACGGAGACCAACTGGAGAGAGTCTTTGAGGTAAGGACCTGTATTCCACTCGTGTGAGGTTGACTTGGTGGAGGGCATGATTTTCTTTGATGATTCTGCACTCAAACTGTGTCCTCACCGTTCATGAGAAGTTATGAGTCGAGTGATTCACAACACATTCCACCCTTTTTGACCCCATGTTTATCCCTATACATTCTGCTTGTCATTGTGTGTGTGTGTGTGTGTGTGCGTGCGTGTGTGCGTGCGTGCGTGGGTGAATGCATGTGTGCGTGTGTGTACACGTGTGAGTGTGCTTGTGCTGATCTGAGGTCATTCTTGTGACTAGTTCCCATTGTTCACTCAGTTGCCACTTTTCTGGGAACTCAATAGATTAACTTGTTGACTGGTCTTCTCTTTTGGCAGATGTTCATTGAGATCCAGTCATCCGTGAGAGATACGGCAACTAAAACGGCTGCACTGGCTGCTTCACAGCAAATCATTCACTTGCTTGGTCAGCAGGTGCAGGAGTATTGCAAGGTTAGAAGACAATGTTATGTGTGTGTCTGAATTCCTGCTGCCGTGCATTCACTGAATAGGGGTGGGCACAGGAGAGGATTGGGCATCAGAAATACCAATTGTGCTGTAACGTATGTGGATCTCTGTGAGAGGGCTGGTCTCTGTAGCAGGTCTGGTCCCTGTAGCGGGTCTGGTCCCCGTAGCGGGTCTGGTCCCCGTAGCGGGTCTGGTCCCCGTAGCGGGTCTGGTCCCCGTAGCGGGTCTGGTCCCCGTATTGGGTCTGGTCCCCGTAGCGGGTCTGGTCCCCGTAGCGGGTCTGGTCCCCGTAGGGGGTCTGGGCCCCGTAGCGGGTCTGGGCCCCGTAGCGGGTCTTGGCCCCGTAGCGGGTCTGGTCCCTGTAGGGGGTCTGCTCCATAGCGGGTCTGCTCCCTATAGCAGGGTAAGTTTGCCGAAATGGAATGCATTACCGGTACTAGGTTGTAAGTGCAAGGGCTCTTGCCACATAACAGAATGCATGGGAAGTTGGGAAGTTGGGAACTACCAAACAATGATAAGAGGATGAAGAAAGTGTTTTTACTTCGAGTTTCACGCACTATCATCAGAAAACAGAAATGAGTAAATCTGGAGTAAAATTCATATACCCACAAAGCAAAAGTGTAAAAAAAATTAATGACAGCATTCGTGAAAGATTGCATCATGGCGTAAATTTAAAAGGTGCGAATGACAGCAGTGGTGAAAGTTATCACTGCATGGGAACCATATTTTTTAGTCAGAATAGTCAGTGATTCCATCATCTGCTCCCCCCCCCCCCCACACCACCACCACGGTGAAGGCTGATAGTGGAATAGCAGTGGGGAAGATGAACAAAAGTCTAAGACTGTAAGCAGAGATGCAGAAACGTTTTGGTCAGGCTTAGGTAAGACTATCCTGGTTTGCAAGGCCGTCATAATCCCTGCCATTTGTGTCGATATGATTTGAAGAACGGGGCCTAGTGCGCATGGAACTGTGCATTCTGACCTGTTCATGATATGCAACTCAATCAACCAACCTCAGTGTCGACGTTATATGCAACTAAACCGTGAACATGCCCATCATAGGGAGAACACCTAGACTGACCCACTACGTGTACATGTATAAACTTACTATAAAGAGATCACTGAGCACCGATGCTGCTACATGTACTGGCTACATCATGTATGACGAAAGTCCATGTTTGAATATAACTTAAGTAGAAGTTCCTTTTGGCTTTGGCAGTCCCCTTCTCCCCTCCCCCTCCCCCTGCTTCAGTAACTTTGTTTGGCACTTTTTTTTTTATTTGCACACGATCACATTAGGCTCATACTTTCCCTTTCTTTTCTTGTCTGTCAGGTTTGCTCTGATTCCGAAGACGGAGATTCCAGCTGGAAAGGACCGGGTAAGCCACCAGGGATTGGGAACATAGGCCAGTGTTTCTCACATGTATGACTCCGAACCTGACATGGAGCATCCGGCACTGTATTAGCATAGGAACGATTGGTAAAGATTACGGTTCACTACACTAACTGCTTAGTTAAGGTTCTGTACATTATGTAACTTGTTATGGATGGCTGTGGTGTATCTATCATGTGCGCGCCTGTTTTGCATGCAGGAGTGGTTGGCGACTATCTTCTGATGCTGAAATCGTGGACACTATCACTTCAGGAATTCCAAAGGTGGGCACATTGTACTCTAGGCACTGACCATGCACGATGGCAGGAGACCTAGATAAGTCTGCATCACTTGTCGTGGATCATACCTACTGGAGTAGGTCATTGAATCAGCCCAATAGCAAGAATGCACATTATTTTGGCTGCATTGGAGGTTGCAATTTCTTGGGGAAATCTCCACCTTTGTGTGGCTAGGGACATCACGCTATTTGGAGCAAAAACAACAAAACTATTTTGTTTGTGTGTTGCTGCTGCCGTCGTCGTCGTCGTCGTTGTTGTGTGCATACAGTGTTACAAGTCATGATATGCCGGGATTTGTATGTCAGATTGGATTCCTGGAGGCTCTGTTGGCCTGCACCACACCGGAGCTGGTCAAGCTGAGGATCGACGTGTCATCTGTGCTGAGGTATGCGCCAGTCTACATTACGCTATGTACTTGAGTCCAGCTGCATAGGAGATTGGAAGACCAACACATATGCCCAGCAAATAGGCTATTGATATCTGTGCTTTCCGTGTGCTGCATGCTACTCTGGCAGTGGCTGCTGTTGAATGTTGCCGACAGTACAATAGTATGGCTCAGTGGTGCGTCTGTTGATGCCGGCGGTAGCTCTGATTTGTACCCCCCCCCCCCCCCACCCCAACCACAGATATCTGGCTTGAGTATGTTCCTAGTGGTGCAAAGAAGTGCCTGGGCTATTCACAATGAAAAGTAGGCTCAGGCTTAAGACTGTGCGGAGTGCATTTGCTTTCCCCAATGGCAGTCCAAATACGGAATGATCCATGCCCCTTCTGCCCTTCATGTTGCCCACTGTGATGTTCGGCACCTCTTTACGTTTGCATAGCAGGCGGGTAGTATGTGTTTTGGCTTTGGGGTATATTATGGTTGTATCTCCTTGTTGAGGCAGGTCCTGTGGTTGTGTGACATACTGGATTCACTGCTGTTTAATAATGGTGTGTACCAGTGGGCAAGTGAACGATTCACTGCCACTTTGGCGCACTTGCCCATGTACTGCACTACTGCCTGTGTAGAACACTCCATTGTTGCTACAAGTATGTGTTGTTGTTGTGTGCTCCCAGGGATCAGCTTGTCCCGTCTATTGCGGCAGCGTTCGCTCACTACATCGAGATCACACCGTTCCGGCTGAACCCACTGGCGGCATCGTCGGCGCGCATCACACGTCGCCTCCTGACATACCTGTGCAGCATCACATCACGGCTGGTCCGTCTGATGGGCTCTGTTCTGTTCCTGCGCCCCGCTCTGACTGCTCTGCTACGCTCTGTAGTGTTAGCGCCGACACCGGAGAAGCGAGCCATCGCACTCCAACAGTGCCTGCATAAGGTATAGCCCGGAGTAATAACACTCTAGACGTTTGCCAACTGTTCTATTGTACTGAATTTTGCCCATGTGGCATTTGGGGAACCTTAGCACATTGGGTGTATCATTCACAACGAAGAAGTCACTGATGCGACGTTGCCTTCCTGATGCGCCTCTAAGTGGAATGTGGAGTGTATGACACCATTGCATTTGTGCAGGCAGGTGCAACTCTACAAGCAACTCTCAAACCTAGCGTACAACCTTTGCTGCAAAGAAGGTACAAATAATTGCACATTGTATCATGAAAGTCGAGCCAAGCTCAACTTCGGTGATCGGCCTGTTGCAACGGTTGCATGAGCTTTGCGGCGGATCGGTGCCATTTGGGGATTTCCCAGTTTTGTGGTCATTGCATCGCGCATTACATAGCGAAAATGCTTCTATTTTAATCCCGCTTAACTTATGACTCACATTAGAGATTGGATGGGTCAGTTTGAGGTACGGTGATGTCACATTGTGCACACAGGGGCTACACGTGTGTCTCGAAATGAAGTACTTCTGAATCTGAGGTATGCGCTTGGACAATTTTATCTTTCTGCCGAATGTTAGACCATGATCGTGCACTGATTCTTGAAAGAGCAAGGCTGTTGTTAACCATTGGAACACAATATATTCCCAATGTTAACTGCTGAAGATATGCTGCACTGCTCTGCTCCAAAGGTTTTCTCATCGCTGGACTCTCTTCTGGCACTGGCTGGTCCCACGGAGTCAGGTTCATCCACCATGGAGTCGGTAGTGTTTGGCGATGGGCAGCTGGAGCTACTGAACCAGTGAGGCTTTGTTTCAGTATAAGGTTTTCATCCAAAGTACTGGACGTGCGGTTCCATTCCAGTGGATATTTACTATTTAGTTGTGTTATGTTCAGCTCACCCATATGTACAAGTCCTTTGTTGTGATTGAATGGACAGTACTCAGTAAAGCCTAGTTTAAGCGACCACCTCAAGGTGCAAGCCAGGTGGTCGTTCGAGCCAGGTGGTCTTTTGAACCAGGTCCCATACATTTGTGGCATATTGGATCTTGAAAAAATGCTTCCATGTGCTCATATTGACAGGTGTGGAGCATAAAACACTTTCACGCAGGCAAAGCACCCATGAGTGCCGCACCTTGCTCAAGTTGGCTCGTACAGCGCACCATGTACTGTGACTTGTGACTTGTCACTTCTGTTGACTTCATGCCCAGCTTCTGAGCCCACTTCAACCCTGTTGCAGTGAGTCCTGCCAGCCAGGATAGCACTTTTGACTAGTTTTGATCATTGTATGCAGGTCAGGTATGATACTTGGTACACTAAAAGTCGGTCGCTGGTCGCGCAAGGCAGGTGGTCGCTGTATGCGGTGCAGTTTCTGTGTAGAACTGTCCGTGCATAGAAAAAGGTCGTTAAAGGGGAAGTATACCCTAAAATCAAATTTTCACCAGTTGTAGTCTTCGGGGTGCTGAGTTGAATGGTCTTGGTCCGAGGAAGCTGAGACGCTCCCTTCCTACTTGAATCCCAATCAAACTCGCGCACTTCCACCGAAACTGGGTGACTGCGCCCTACTAGATGGGGATTTGTATGCAAAATGTCACTAAAAGCACCATTTCGTTCTTATAAAAGCACGGATGACCGCGATTGGCCCATATGTTGTAGTCTTTTGGACGCTGAGTCGACTGGTTTTGGTCCGAAAAGGCTGCGATGCAGCGTTCCTCCTTTATTCCCAATCGAACATGGTTGAACAAGCGGTCACGTGCTCCTGCGTACACCAGTCACCTGGTCACCGTGCCTGCAGGGTACAACTTACTAGCCTGTTTGACCTTTTTTGGGTGCAGTCCTGTCACTCGAGTTGAACTCGAGTTGAACCTTGGTGTGAAAGTTGTCGCCTACTGCCAGTAGTACTGGCGCGGTGACCAGGTGATTTGGGCACCCAGGAGCACGTGACCATTTGTTCAAGCATGTTCGATTGGGAATAAAGGAGGAACGCTGCATCGCAGCCTTTTCGGACCAAAACCAGTCGACTCAGCGTCCAAAAGACTACAACATATGGGCCAATCGCGGTCATCCGGGCTTTTATAAGAACGAAATGGCGCTTTTAGTGACATTTTGCATACGAATCCCCATCCAGTAGGGCGCAGTCACCCAGTTTCGGTGGAAGTGCGCGAGTTCGATTGGGATTCAAGTAGGAAGGGAGCGTCGCAGCTTCCTCGGACCAAGACCATTCGACTCAGCACCCAGAAGACTACAACTGGTGAAAATTTGATTTTAGGGTATACTTCCCCTTTAACTGAAGCAGGTGGTCGCTGAAACCAGAGGTCGCTTGAACCAGGTTTTACTATATTTGATAGCAATGAGCGCACTGCTGTACACTGTGCATGGCGGAGTGTTTTCTTATGTATAAATGGTTAGGTTCTGTGTTTGCTTTTCTTGCTTTCCAGGCTGCTAACAGGCGTGACCGAGTGCGTCTGCTGTAGTGACTCAACCACACGGAAAACTGCAGTTGACTGTATTGTAGCATTTGTGGCATCCCTGGAGGAGCTTCATGTGGGAAAGGAGAGTATCTCCCCTACCATTGTCCGCAGTTTGCAGCTGTTTGCCAAGGAGATGCCGCATGCAAACAAGGCTCCTATTCAGCTGTCCTTAGCTGTGTTGCTGGGCGCCGATGGACCTCTGCCTGATGCAACACCTGAAGGCATTGTCCCCAGTTCTCACGAAGGCCATCCACCTGCGGTAGAGAATGGCGATAGCAGTGCAACAGAAGCAGCCAAGCCAGAGTTACCGCAGCCAGTACAAGGGGATGAAGAAATGGCCAACGGGCATTCTTCTTCTGCTGCTGCTGCAGCTGATGAGCATGTAGAGTCCGGCGATACAGAAGATGGTGAAAACGAGGCGGCGGACTGTCAAACAAGCCGGTTAAACCATGCCTACGCGTTGTCCGACGCTGGTGAGGATGTTAGGCCGGCTGCCCAGGACAGCGTTCCTGCTCCGATCAGCCGCAGTGCTGGGCCTTGTGTCGCGCCGAACAATAGCATTCTTTTTGTGAAAATGCTCTCAGCCTCACTTCCCGCCCTGCTAAAGCTGAGCAACGGCGAAATGGTAGATGACAAGCTGCAGCAGATGGCGTCGCTATTCTGCTCACTGAGTACGGCCAATGCAGTTATTCCCGACCCGGTCCAGTCTGTCCAGCTTGTTCTGCCTGCAGACATCAGCGAGTCTGACTCCAGCGGCGGTCCATCAGTGCTGACGGCTGACAGTGTGTATATTGCCTGCTATGGTGCGCTGGCCATGAACCTGTGCCTGAGCAAGGAAGGGTTTTACTCCCAGCCACGTGACCTCCGTGAAACCTCCCTAAGCCTGGTGAGTGGAGATAGCCTGTGATGATTCAACACGCTGCACTGTCCATGATTCTTTAATGCAAGCTTGTACACACCAGGGAGGGGACCTGTGAGGACCGTATGTGGTAGAGAGTCTATGTCCCATACCCTGGACCCCGGGGATATAATGGTAAGGTATTGGGGCACACTTAATGCAACGATGAGGATTGCAGTAACAGGGGAGTCAGTGACATGTGGTTATGCACACTTGATGTTGCAGTGGCCCATAAATAATTTAATTTAGATTTGCGATTCTTCTCATCCTGGTTATTCCAGGTTGCTTGCATGGAGAGCTATAGGCCGTAGTAGCATACATTTTGCAGTGCTGTACAATCATACACTCAAACACCCTCTTTGTCTTCCATTGTTTGATGACATGGAGACTATTTTGCAATGTCTTACGTCATCTTGAAGTTAATCTCTTTGGTACTTAGCCAAATCGAGACTATCAGGCACTGTCTCAGGCCACCTTGAAGGTAACCTCTTTGGTACTTAACCTAGATTTATACCACTTTTTGTTTTGTGTTTGTGTTCAGGATAAGTTCATGCTGCCACTATCAAACACTGGCATTATCCTGAGCTTGTCACCACACTGGATACGTAATCTGTACAACCTGCTGCTGGAGAACGACCTCCTGGCCAAGGCTGGCTTCAATGGTGACGAGAGGCTGACAGCGTCGCCAGGTCTTGACAGTCTAAGCACAGCACGGGGTGATGGCAGCGGCGATGGCCCGGCTCTAATCGACATTCTCATCTGGACTTTCCCGTTCCTATCGCAGTACACCAAGCCAGTAGCGGATAGCCTGCCCGAGAGGCTTGGCGGCGGCGGCGTTCCAATGGATGGTATTCTAAGCAAGGGCTTGATCGGTTCTATTAGTGTACCGGCGGCGAGCGACAGTGAGGAAGCCAGTGTCATGGATGGTGCCCGTGCACCACTTCTGCAGTTCAGCGAGGCAAAGGCACCAGTCAGTAGTCTTGTGGACTCGAGCGTTCTTGTTTTTGTCTGCAAAGATCTGCTACAGGCGGCATGGAGAAGCACGCTGATGACCCTGCAGCAACCACTACAAGCTCATTCAGCCTCTGCAGCAACCCACCAGCCAATGAACTCACCCGAGAAGTCAACACATTCCATCCCAGTAACCAATCGCACACTCGTTGGATTTCCGCTTCATCTGATTAGCCCGCACGGTGGTGGCGGTGGTGGTGATAAGACCGGCTCTGACGCAGCAATGATTGTGTCCTGCCTGAACGGACTCCGGCTCGTGGCACGTCTTAGCTGCCAGCTGGCCATGGATCGTCAGTGTGCCGAGGTGCTGGCTATTCTGTCAGACGCTGCCATCGTAAACACACAGAGAAATACACCCAGTCAGAAGAAGTCGGACACAGGGAAGACTGCTTCTGAAGTAAGCAGTCGAGGCAACCCAGAGGATAGCGGTGGCATCAAGAAGCGGCCATCAGTCTTAGCCGCACTTCAGGCAAAACGGGCAGGCAGCGGCAGTGGTGGTAGTGAGCGAAGCTCCAAAACTAGCAGCACATCTACAAACCGGGCACAGTCGCCATCTAGTTCTAAGCCCCTACCGACAATACAGCTGAGCCACGCGTTGTGCTTGGAGGCACTCTTCCAGCTAGGTGTTCAATCCGCAGTTGCCTCGCCACAGTGCTGGGAACCTGTTCTCAGGTAGGTCGTAGCTGTTGAAGATGATGAGCATGGCTGAGCTAAGAACTCCCGCAATGCTGTGTGTTTACGGCTGGGTTTGAAAGCATGTCTGCATTCACCATGTTGTCCAGTGTAGTAGTAGTAGTAGTAGTTTTTATTATTTTACTAGGGGAGTCCCAACAGGCTACTGCCTTTTTACTGGGAACCCTGTTTAACCATATTAATGAACAGAGCAAGAGTGTGGGCCTGTCGACAGTCAGCTGGAAGAGAGTTCCACCTGCCTGCCGCCAGAAAAGAAATAGAGCGCATGCCATACTGCGTATAAACGAGTGGGAGAACAGTGCTGTTGTTCTTTTCTGGCATTCCACCCAAATGGGCTCGTACATGACACTACTGGCAAGACTGTATTGGTGTTGGCTACTGCTATCATGTTTATCCCGTGAACGTATTCGTTGTTACCAACCCACCCACCAAACCTGCGATAGCGTTAGACTTTGCCGACTGGGTTTGTTGCAAGCCTGTATAATACGAAGAAGAACACAAAACTGCAAAGATCGATTCAGTGGACATGCATGTACTTGAGTAGACAACTTGACCGACGATCCTTTACACCTTCTGCACAGCACCCATTGCTAACGAGGGTAGAGCAACTGCGACCACCGTTCAATGCATGTTTTAATGCTTTTCAGGCATTTTTGTAGCAAGAGGGAGCACATCAGTCATTATATAATTGTAGAATGGTGTGTGGGCTTTTGACACAGTTGTACTTCTCTATTCTCTGTTCTCTGTTCTCTGCGTGTCCAGGAGCTGCGCTTATATATCTGACTTGGAAGCATCTCTGTTCACGATACTGAGTCCATCAGATGTCAATCAACAACTCCGTTCTGCACAGCAGAATGAAAGCGGCAAGTCGAATTCCTTGGCCAATATCTTGCGCCGTGATACTGGTAGCAGCAGTAGCAGCAATGACAATGGTCCAACGTCACCGGCAGAGCTGCTGAGTGAAAGCAGCATGATCCAGGCCATTTCCCACCTCTCTGCGCTCGCCGATCGTCTTTTCATGAATGCAGCCCACCTCCTACCATTGCCTGCTCTGATCACATTCCTGCAGTACCTGTCGAGAGCCTCACAAGAGCAGCTGGCAACACGCTCCAAGAGTGGTAAGGATCCCACGGCCGGTCTTCTCCTCCGGCGCTATACACCTCTACTGCTGGCAGTGTGCGGCAAATCACAGCGTCCTCTGGCACACCTGCTGCAGGCCTGGAATAGTGTTTCTCAGCACCTGATTGAGGTAGGCACGCAGTCCCTTCCTAACTACTTGCGTCTCATTCATTCCCTTCTGCTTTGGGACCGTCCGTGATTGTGGCCAGTTATCGCAACTGTACTATATGCACACCCCCTCCTTCCCACCCCTTCTCCAAACTGCACACACCTAGTAAGGTATCATGAAAACGAGGTACATTATTTGGTGGTTTGATCCTGCGAGCATACACATCGCTGTACCCCCCCCCCCCCCCCACACACACCCATTACCATACCCTGTACGGTTGTGATAAAATAATGGTAACAATTATGGACGGCAACAATGGTGAACGACGGCAATTATTTGTTAGCCCAAGAATGGCCCACGAGTTTTCCTGGTCCGAGTGGTAATGCTAGCTGAGTATGTATGTATGTATTAGTTACTTGGTTGGATTCTGTGATTATATACGGTGCCGTCTGTGATATCCAATGTCTTACTGTGACAGCTAGCATACGTTCATCAGCTGGTGTTTGTATCTTGGCTAGTTTGCTTAAAAGAAGTTCTGGGTAGTTTAAACCTGAGATCAATCCTAGCTGGCACATCACTCACCATTCACTCGGTGTACTGGCATAGAGCATATCGTTCTCTATGAGTAGTGTCAGCGTACATGACTTGTACTCAAGGGTGCTAGATGTACAGAACGAGCCTCTTAGCCATGGCACAGTGAAACTTCAGTGTAACGTACCAGTTCAGGGGTCATGCAAGTCTGCACTTTATAGCCAACCTGCTACTGTAAAAGCAGAACGTTTCGGTGGTGTAATATTTTTGGTCACGATTGTCCAAAATCGGCGGTTCAGTGGAGGGAAAAGTTTGGTAAATCCGTTTTCCAGGTAAATGAACTAGTACTAGTACCGAAATTGTCGGTCCTTTTATTTTCGGTAAAAATTTCGGCACCGAAGTTACCGAAAATAAAACACCACCGAAACTTTCTGCCTTTACAGTATATATCCATGGTCGAATGACTGGTATAGCCTTGCAAGGTCCTCGAAATAGTACTTTATTCCCGTCGCTATGCAGAAGACGTTACTTCAGTAACGTCTGGCGCTAGCCAGGGTCCACACAGCTTTAATTTGGTGTTTGTTTGTTTGTGGCGGACGGACCTCCGTCTGGCGCTATCCCGTATCTGTCCCGTACCGTACGTACCATCAAAGACAGCTGGCCACAAATAGCTGGCCACTGACAATATTCAAATAGGGCTTTCAAATGCAAGATCATAACGTGAAGCAACTTGGAAGAATGAGTATGAATGCGACGTGTATCGGGCAATGCATGTAGGGCGATTGTGCGGGTTCGAATCCCAGGTTATGCCTTGAAAAAAAAAATAGGAGAATTGAAAAATTTATAACATCCCTATGCTTTTTTTGCCTAGGTCATCCAGGTGGTAGACGGTGTCGTATTACCCTCGACCGTATCTGTCCCGTACCGTACCGCACCATCAAAGACGGCTGGCCACAAACAGCTGGCCACAATATTCAAATAGGGCTATCAAATGCAAGATCATAACGTGAAGCAACTTGAAAGAATTAGTATGTATGCGAAGTGTATCGGGGGATGCATGCAGGGCGACAGTGCGGGTTCGAATCCCAGGTTATGTCTTGAAAAATAGGAGAAATGAAAAATTTACTATGCTTTTTTTGCCTAGGTCATCAAGGCAAAAAAGCATAGCGTAGGGCCCTGAGCTTCCAAGCTCTCTCGTTGCGCACAGTATGTCGTATACATGCATATACAGCTGAGGTTTTGCTGCATCTCATTGTTTGGAATAAGCCTCTTATACCATGTGTACGGGCAATCGCACAACATGATATCACTGGCCTGACACAACATTGACTAAAGAAAAAGCAAAGGACATTTTTTTAGGAAAAAGAAAATGAAACTTGACAATCTGCACACTATGACAACTCCATTTATGATAGTCTTTGTTAGATCAGTCTGTATCCGTTACCCGTGTTAGCTAGTTGCCAAAGCTGGGCTTCGGCAAACAGGAACATCTGGAGATGCATCATCCACCACCCCCCCCCCCCCCCCCCCCCCCCTATGCCAGGGAAATGGTGAGCAGCCCCCCCCCCCCCCCCCCTCAGACACATGATATTGGCACACAGAAAAGCAAAGGCCAGACGGCTCCGGATGAGCGAGATATGGGTATGATACCCAACCGATCCACGCTCCTCCATGAGGACAGCCAGCCGTTGATAGAATGCAGTAGCAGCACTGCCCATACCGCCAGTTGTTGCAAGGACAAGAGGAGTGAAACTAGACTTCTCCACCTCCCGCACTCGTTCATCATAGTGGCGTCTCTTCTCGGCTTCATGCTTGGTGAAAGCAGATTGGTTGTGGGCCGACCGGTTCGGAACTGCTTATGGGTTGAATAGTATGAATACCCTTACATCAAAAAAGCAGCGTTCAAACCGTCGGCCCCACACCCCGCCTGCCACAATGTCAAGCCGTGCCTGGTCAGCAGACATAGCCGTCCGATGCCAAAACCGCTCACCACTGATTGGCTGAAGGTGGGGTTCCACTACGACGTTGTTTGCCACTCTCCGGAGCATTCTAGCGGTGACGTCACACACCTCATTGTGACGTATTGTCGGAAAGCCACTCTTTGGGCATAATAAGGCGTGGCACAGATCAAAACTGGCCCCACAGGCACAGCTACTGGGAAGACCAGTCAATGACCAGCCATACCGAAGGGCGATGCCATCCCAGAACTCACCCTCGGTCAGTGCGAATCCATGGCGCTTCATTGGTCAGCAAGTCAGCCAACTGGACGCTCTGGGCTACGAGGCCAACTGACCAGAATAAGAAAGTTCTGCTGGTGCCGCCGCAAGGAAATCAAACACTTTGTTCTTAGCAGCACGTCTGTTTGCTGCAGACAACTTGCGCTTGGTGGAACGAATGCAATCCAACGAATCCCCAAGGGGAGCCTGAGAGCGGATGTGTTCCACCAGAGGTGCATTGTCTCGTTGTACTGTGTCTCATTGCACCGTGTCATCCATTCTGCTGTCCAGGGTGCTTGCTACAAGGAGCGTGCTGTTGCCACTATCGCAGCAGATTGCCTGCACCAGGTGATGAGCGAATGCATCAAGAACCGCGCCGAGTTGCCATTGTTCAGCTTCCACAAGACCCTGCTAATGCCCATGGAGAGCATAGTCTGTCTGGGTATCTGTGACCTGGACACGCAGGATCAGGTAATTGTATGACCTAGGACTAGGGTGAGGGTGAGGGTGGTATTGTGTTTGGCGCGTCGCAGTCTGGTGTTCCTCAAGTTCTGTGTGTTTGTGTGAGCACTAGGCTTTGACACACCAGTGCAGTTGTGAAGTACAAACTATGTATCTTGAGCCCCGGCTTGCAGACCGGCCGATGAACAGGTTTGACCTCGTCAAGTATGCCGCAGTCTTCATGCTTGCTTATCAAATCCAATGGACATAGCTCTCGCATTGCAGAGCTGGTTACTTGTAATGATTAGTGAGTGTGGCGAGTGTGATGACTGATGAGTGAAGGAAACTAGAGCAGACAATGCAGGCTGGCAGCACTTGTGACCATTGCAGTGGTGTGTGCTTTTCCCCTGAAAAGGCAGAGCTGCAAGGATTCAACTCCCTCGACCGCTTATGAATACTGCAAGGAAAAACGGATTTACTTCTTGCAGCATTCCTTTGTGCCACGGTCTCACTCTCTCCTTTCTCCTGTCCTGTGCATGTGGCCTTGCAGATTGTCTGTGCACTGTGTGAGCTGGTGGAGGCCTCTCGTATCAACATTGGCTCCGGGTGGTCGGTAGTGTTCGGTGCACTTCGCAGTGTGCGTTTTGGCACGTCTGAACCACCCGGCGGCAAATCGGCTAAAGGCACCGGCGACGAAATGTCAAATCCAAACCCAGTCATGGATATCATCGATACTGTGCTGAAGTCTGATAACGCAGCGCTCATCTCTGATGCAGCCATGGATTGTGTGGAGTGCATGCTGAAATTCCTCTCAGCCGGCCATGCGCAGAGTGACGTGCTGGCGCAGAAGGCGCTGGACGGCGTGGGAGTTTGCCATGAGCTGTTCGTCAGCATACACCACCTCAGCTCCTACCCGGACTTCCGAGGTGCCGCCGAGATCCAGGATATATCCTCTAAGAGCAGCTTTCTGGCGTCTGACTCCACGGGACTTCTGCGTGTGTGGTTCTTGCTGTTCCGTGGCATGTGCGATGCACTGCCGTACTGCCCCTCGGCCGTGCAGCCTCACCTGGTTGATAAACTCTTCACACTGATCGAGAGTGCCTGGACTGGCGTGCCGGGCAAAGGCTTTGCTTTGAAAGTCATGGAGGAGCTGCTGCTGCCGTCGCTGCATCGCTGGCTGCAGAGCGGTATTAATCTGAGTCTCAGGTGGAAGAAAGCCGAGGTCCAGAGCTTCAAGCACTGCTGTGGCCGACTGGTGTCGCACGTCAGTGATCTGGTGCTGCCTGTTCTCCAGCAAGAGGGCGATACCATGGCGGAGAGCGATGAAGAATTCATGCAGGCCGCTTCGGAGATGATGCAATCAGTCTTGGACCTGATGGTGGATTGTGTTATTCAGCCAGAGGAAGCACTGGCTACGATGGGCAACGCCTCGTTACGGTGAGACATGCTTGACACTATCATACAGGAAACGGTGATAAAATTGTCTCCAACTCCTTGGGGTCTAGTCTATCAGTCCGCCCATATCTGCCATGCCAACATTATTCCCAAAGCGAACTGCTGCTGACTTGATAGATTCAAATGGGCTTAGTTCTTGGCACGGAACTGAAGGTGGACAGTTTCTTGTACTTGCTGGTTCTCACTGGTGTTTGTCATTCCGTTGACTAAGCGCATGGTTGACTGATAATGGAATCGGATGTGCCGAAATATGTGCCCCCTTAAGGCTTAGCAAGGCACGCTTGAGAATGCACATACGGTTTATTAAATTGCCACCTTTCAACCTACATTATTCTGTGTTTGTCTAGATTCCTGTTGCTCGGTACTGGAGGTCAACTTCCCAAGGGCCTGTGGCAGTTGGCCTGCACCTCGCTGAGCCAGGCTTTACGGCTCACTCTGCAGCCTCTGGAGCTTGTCCTAGGGCAGTTTGAGCCGTATCGGCGTAATCTGAGTGGGCGCAGCGATCGTGTCAAGATCACGTGTAAAAAGAACATGGCAGTGTCCACTGCGTTTCGAGTGCTTCACCTAGCTAAACAAGTAAGTTGGAACTTGTCGAGATACGAGCCTTGAATACTACCCAACCTGTGGCATACTGCCCTAATATTGTAACAGTAAATACAGAATTCTGGTAGTGACTACACCAATTTCCAAACCTCGCTCCGATCGCTTCGATTTTGGTCTCATTTGATTCTCCCAGGCATAGTACACAAGCAATCTGCAAGTATTATTCAAATCAGCCCAGCCATTCTTTAGTTATAGTGATTTGAAGTGCGCCAAGTTGGACTTTCGCTGGAAGCAGAAATGAATTGGAGTGATGGGAGAATCGAGAACAACCGCACAGTCAGTGCAAGCAGTACAGTGTACAGTGCACACGCCTCGTCACTCGAACTGCACGTACGAAATTGCATGCTTTGGTATGCTGGTGCAGAACAAATTCGTTCTTAGAGGAAGACGAAAGCTTCTCACCGCCTTGTGATTTCACATGGCCAGTAGTTTTTCGACGCTGAAGACAATGGAATAGTCCGCGACGCCGCGACCCGACCAGAACCACCCGAAATTCATACCCTGAAAACGCGCTGCGCGCAGAGCTCCTAAATTTTGTCGTATGGAAACGAGACTTCGGGCCTCAAGGGCACGAACACCTCCTCTCTCAGATAAAGCAATACACTCGAAGCGATATTCTACAATTTAACCTGGCCACGCCGAAAAGCACTGTGATGTCAGATTCTCCCATCGGAAGTATAGAAACTTGTTTCCAAAAATCAGCATCTGGGTGGAAGGGAGTAAAGTCACTAACTTTGGTAAGACAATCATTCATCAGATTGAGCATGCTGCTTTCATGTAGAGCAGAGAGTACAAGGAATATCTGGAAGAAACAGGCACCATCCTTATGCTACCTACGTGACACTGATTAGTGATTTATGGTAAGACAATTAGTGGGAAGGCCTCTACTCCTTACACGTACGGGTGGGCAATGGCCATCGTTTTGTTGCCGGTCACATTAGGTTCAATATCTTTTCTGTCTGATATTCTCTCCCCCACCTCTTGCTGCAGGCGTTTGTATTGCCGTTAGAGCTCCAGGAGTTACAGCGTGCGTCTGCTGAGCTTGATGAGTCTCAGGAGTGCAGCCGGGCAGCCTCACCGGAAAAGGCATCAGCCACTGTCTCCAAGCCTGGTGTGGAGAACGAGGCTAGTTTGACCATCCACGACGAGGACCTGCATAGCACCATAGAAGAGTGTGCAGTGTCGTCTACACGCGCAACCGAATCCTTCTCCTTCTTCTGGTCCGTCCCTCTGCCATCAGCGTCCCTCTTCCACCGGCCCGGGGCAAGAGATGGTGGCGGAGACGGTGCTGAAGACAGAGGTGCTGTGAAGAAGAAGAAAGTTCGGTAAGTTATTGCCTACATCTCTACCTATATGATGTGCTCTTCCACAGACCTTAAGTTTGTTTACTTACTCTGTTAAGCCACCGGCTTGAGGGTACTGGTGCATGATAATCGTGTTCCTAGTCAAGTTTCTAAAAAATGCTGCTGCAAATCTGGTTACCCGAAGGTCAATGATCGGAATGATCGATTGTCCTAAACACCTTGTCGCACAGAATTGAAGGGGCAACAATGAGTTTTGCCGTTTCTCAACCCTCATTTCCCCCTCCCCTCCCCTAGGAAGGGGAGGGGAGGGAAGGGAGGAGGAACGAAGTGGAGGGGGACGAGGGGGGGGGGCGCGAGGGGGAAGGAGAGGAGGGGGAGGGGGGGGGGGGGGAGGGGGAACTGGGTAATGATCATGACTATTATGGCAAGTCGTACTGCGATGGAATTCCCGTTTAGAGTCTTCCCGCATGATTTTCATTTGAGTTTGCTGAACTTTGTTCCTATGTTGCCTTGCACGCATTCAGAGTGCCATTCCGAAGCCTGACAGTCAGCTTAGTGACACATCAGCTAGTGCTACACACACTGAGTGATGTTCTGCTGGGCGTGGGTAGTGGTGAAAGACTGGAGCAGCGCAGCGGTGGTGATGCTAGCAGTAAGTCCGTCTAGCCTCATAGCCTGACTGAAAAGTTGACCAGTTTTGAATCATGCACGAGTGCCAGAGATACGGTGATCATATGGTGCGTGTATAGCCTCTTGCGTCACCTCTGGATCCACTTTGTATGCTGATGAAATTGCACTTGATGAGGAATTTCTTGCCGTGGAAATTGGACTGTATGTCAACCCTCTCGCACTACTTATATTGGTTGGAATCTGACAAGATTTGTAAAGTTTAAGTTACTCAATCTGCGGACAGAACTAATTCGTCCTTTGTGGACTCATCAGCGCAGCACAAAGAAAATGAGGCCGAACATGATACGGCAATGAGAAATAAATTCTCCAAAGCCAGATTTAAACCAGGCCCGAATGTACCTTGCCAGAGTGCTCCACTTAAGTCAGTGAGCTCTGCATAACACAAACAGCAAAGGCACTACCCCACATGAGAGTGCTCAACGACTACAAAAGCAGGAGTGAAGTCTAAGTTATTCTGTACCTTCATCGTTCCTGTATTGCTGTGGTGTGTGTCCCCACCAGTGGGTGGTGGGCAAGTGAGTTGCATGAATGATGCATTTAAAATCAAGTAAACTACTAGTAAAGCTTGTTTTGCCCAATGATGTACGTTTTGTCATGCAATTTTCTCATCTGTCCGCTGCCGCCACAGACCAGTCGAAGAGCGCGAGCAGTTCAGGCACGTTGAGCGCGAATGCTGTTCTGAAGCAGTTCACGCCAGGGCAACTAGACTCTCTGCTGGATGGTGTGCTGGCGTCAAGTCAGCTCGCCTGCTCCTTCAACCGCCGCCCAGGCTTCCGACTCGCCGTGGCAAAGGTCGGTGCCCTGGAGCAGCACACGCCACATCTACTGCGGCAGCTGAGTATAGGCCTCCGCGTTTACATCCACTGTCTGCTGCAGCTACTGGATTGCAACAGTCAGGCGCTGGATGCATGGTTTCAACAGGATAAGGATGACAGCAGCAAGGAAGAGGAAAGCGAGGTGGCGGATGACGGAGCATCTTCAATCATTCTTATCGAGGACGTGATCTCTAAACCCAGTGTGGTGAGGGACACGACAGCTGTACTTGATTCACAGCGCAATCACTCTGAAGAAGAGCCAGAGGCTGGCGAGAGTGTGTTTGACCGCAGCGCTGTGATTACCAAGTCTCGCCCGCCATTGTCGCTGGCCAAGCAACTGTGGAAAGAAAGAGAGTTTCTTCGGGTGGTCATGAAGAAGGTGTCAGCAAGCTCTCCCGGGTTCCAATGGGTTGCTAGCCGCATTGCTCTCTTCTCGCAACGCCTAATTAGTTACATTCAGAATCTCTCCCATCAGCATGAAGTGGATGCTGTGGAGGACGAGGCAAGACTGCTCAGCGAGCGTGTCGGCGAGAAGGCGGAAAGTGGCTCCACGAACATTCTCATCACTGATCTTCAGGCCGTGCCTGTCTGCATCACGTCGCAGGAGTGGCGGACACTGGAGCTTGACCAATGGCTGTCGCTACTCGAGGAGATACTGAATACAGTATGTGGCTATGAAGACCAGCAGTTTGAATGCTTGGTCCCGTTCTTCTACGCACCCATTGTATCTTTGTGTAGCATGGACAGTGAGCGTGTGCATGCCCTGACAAGGCTGTTCTTCACACGGTATGGCCGGCTTCAAGGTCTCGTTCCGCAGCCAGAAGCCAACGGTGGCCGCGAAGGTGACGACAGCACAGAGGAGTGACGTTGACAGTGCTGCGTTGTCGCAGTTACGCGAAGTGTGTGTGTGTGTGTGTGTGTGTGTGTGTGTGTGTGTGTGTGTGTGTGTGTGTGTGTGTGCACGCATGCATGCAAGTGTTTATTGACTCTGACTGGTGTTCGCCCTAGGCACAAAACTGAATTTATTTTCAGTAGTCCACTAATCATTGCATTGTGATAATTATGCGATCAGTTGATGTGTTTTAGCCAATTCTGGAATGCATTTTAACCTATTTTCAAAGAAAATTTCAACGTGTTCTTCCTATTTTGGCAAACTTATCACTAGAAAAGTACAGTAATTTGCATGAGCAGGCATATTTCGAACTTTACACTTGCCAGGTTTACATTGACCTTCTCATCTTTTTTCTTTCAGCACCCTTGCAGAGCTTGCCTTCTTGTTGCTGCATTTGACTTTCTACACTTACAATTGGCGGGCTTTCTACTGGCCTGCGCACCAAGCTGCTGCTAACTATGAAGGGAGACAAGGCCCTATCTTTACCTACACTGTTTTGTCATTGTTGTCACTGCGCAGCATTTGAAATCGAGTGCATTCCCCTCACCGGGCCTCAGTCAAGTTGTGTTCCAGTGTGTTGAGGACAACAGACTACCAAAAATTAATAGACCTGGCTTACACATAGACCTGGCTTACACATAGACCTGGCTTACACATAGACCTGGCTTACACATAGACCTGGCTTACACATAGACCTGGCTTACACATAGACCTGGCTTACACATAGACCTGGCTTACACATAGACCTGGCTTACACATAGACCTGGCTTACACATAGACCTGGCTTACACATAGACCCGGCTTATATAGACCCGGCTTACACATAGACCTGGCTTACACATAGGCCCGGCTTACACAGCAGAGCTCAGGGTTTCTTCTAGTATGTTTAAGATGATTTCCGCATTTTTTGGACTGAACAGAACTGGCATACAAGATGGTGGCCACGCGGATTTCTTCTCTACTGGCGATTTGAGGTGATCTTTTGGGAGATGTTGGCAGCTACGTGTCTGCAGGTTCGTATCCACCATTACACACACACACACGCGTGCACACACATACACCCCCCCCCCCCACACACACACACATACGCACGCACACTCATAGACCGCACAGGTTGTCGCCTTTGCACAACGTTGCCTGCAATGGGCTTTGACATCAGCAACACAATTAGTTGAGAGAATTATTTTAGGGGTTGTTTGTGGTTCAGTCTACGTGATACGCAGTACTAGTGTATACATTCAAGGCTTGACGATGTTCATTGTGCCATGGTAGACTGTGGCTTCCCCTGTGGGGATTGTGTAAACATCCAGTATGCAGTACAGTAGTATCCCAGTCACATGTGTGTGACAGACACGGAGATGTCCATCTGTTGTTGACAGACGGCGGCCGCACGCTGCACATACAAGTGCATACCTCCCGCACACCTTCACGCGCCGCCCACCTGGCAGTAGCACGTACCGCGTACCGTCTTTGTTTCTCAGAGCCAATAATGGCGTCCAGACAGACTCTAGAAGTGCAGGGGGTAGCTTGCTGGACTCCCTGTGTTTAGCCCAATACCAGGGCACATAATTATACTATAGCGATTCTCTAATCTACACCTTACCTTCTAGATTTCTCATTATATGGTGCCCGGAGAGGTACCAATAAAGTTGAAGAAAGGCAAGCAAAGGGCTGCTGTTTAGGTAACTGGTGTTACTTTAGTAATAGGTATCAGTGCCCACACTGATTCCAATAAATCAGTCAGCGCCAATGGCTGGGTGATGGGTCTAGCACTTCTTCATCCACTACAGTTGCCAGGTTACATTCAGGCTGGATCGTCCTATTAGCCTACACCTTACAAAAACACAGAACGTGTCGGTTTTCAGAAGGCTTTTAAAATATTTTTGGATTACCGTATGCGATTATCCATACGGAATACATTGTGGTAGACACAGATATTTGGATTTCGCGTACATACATGTAGTCATTAGACAACATGCCTGCACGTCAGTGCATGTAATTGTGTATTCACAACATCAGCTACATGTACGTGTACGTGTACGCGTACATGATGAGTCCACTAAGGACGACACCGTTCTGTCCGCAGATTGGGTACATGTACATGTACATGACATGTACATGTACATGTACCCAATCTGCGGACAGAACGGTGTCGTCCTTAGTGGACTCATCATGTACGCGTACACGTACACGTACATGTAGCTGATGTTGTGAATACACAATTACATGCACTGACGTGCAGGCATGTTGTCTAATGACTACATGTATGTACGCGAAATCCAAATATCTTGTACTACATGTACTGTAAAAAAAACAAAGTAATATTATCATGCCTCGTGCAGTTACACCAAGAGTACATAACTGGTTATCTACTCTTGGTTACATGTATCTAGTGATGACTAGTGTGAGAAGTGATACTTAAAGTTTAACGGCGAAGACACACTGTACATGTACAATGTAGGTGCATGGGAAACTCTGCCCTTTTCGCACGAACTACAACAACAGTACGTACACAAACGGTGGGTGATTGCGTGATAATTATATTGAGATGTTTTCGGAACGCGACGTCCAGATATGCTGGCTAAGAAGACAAGGACATCCTCATTTGTAAACTTTACGAAGAAATGCAATTTGCTGCGAAGAGTGCGTGTCTTGCAGACCGTCGCGTAGACTGTGGAGCCTTGCCAGCAACTTTGTTGTCCTTGCAAGAGAGCTACGTGCACGTGGATCTACCGAGTGTAAATGAGGGGCGGAAGAGAGACGCATTTAGTATGAATAATAGTTGTTGTTTAGGTACAACATGTCATGGCTGTTCACATCTGTTCTAGTCAGTTTGCATTCGTCTAGCCACCGGTCTACGAGTCTACCAGAGAAGACGCTGTGTAAAGAAACCAGAGTTGATATCTTCCCAAAGGGAATCCGGTGATGCCCGGGGAAGGCCCATCGATACAGCGCATACGGGAGTCGGGATGTGCCCACAAACTTGGCACCCCATTCACCCATGGTAGCAGACGCTGCAGACAAGTCAGAAGTGTAATTTGACTTCACTATTATCGTACATCATTGTTCAGTACTATGTAGTGGTAGCTGGACTGCACCACCTTCGGCTTCCTTTCCACGGACACAGGACGAGCTGTGCATTATACACGTGTATAGTCTAGTGGAATTGCAGATTCGTAGCCACAGTGCCACAGTGCTGCTGCGAGTATTGTGTGTATTGTCACTCACTCAGTAACTGGACTTATGTTGATCCTGTGCCAGATCTAGCCACCTGGAGTTTGCCTGATAACGGATAGCGGAGGTGTGCTTGGGGCATACTACCAGGCTGGGCGGGACAGTCGCTGCAGACATGATGTTTTGGGCAAAAGGGACTGTTGCTCTGTTGGTGTGAATTATCAGAATATCCGTCAACAACTTCGTGCCTGCAACTGGCCTGTTACTTCGAAGTACCTGCGTGGTTTCCTTGGCAGATCTAGAGCGCCGTGTGTGTCCAAGACAGTCAGAACGGCAGAACGGGACTGTACCTGGTGTACATGTAGCTGCTACTTTACTAGTCTTCTGATATTTTGGAGATTGAAGACTTTGACAGCACAATACATCTATGTTCGACGCCTGTCAGTTTGCTGGCCATGGATTCCAGACATACATACCGTGTCTTTACATGTGAGGAATCCACTGACAGCAAGCTGAGGGGAGTTCGAGGTAGAATTCTCGTCCTGAAAAATCTTCATGTTCATGCATGTTTATCCGACTTCGGACTTCGTCACAAGTCAGTTTGGATCCACCCGACGGTTGATCTTGTGCCAGACGGAGAACCACCTGGCGTTTGGCCTGATACTGATAGTGATAATGATAGGGGAGGTGTGCTTAGGGTATGTCGCGGGATGGAGTGGTCTCTGTAGACGTGATGCGGGCAACGGGACAGGTGCTCTGACATCCTTCAACAGCTCCGTCTGCAGCGTGTCCTGTTCAACCATACCGGTTAACTTGCATTTTTGGGCGGAGTGCGTTTTCAGCCTTAGCGTGCGTGCCAAGTAGAGAGGGAGAGAGGGAGAGAGATAGATAGATAGATAGATAGATAGATAGAGAGAGAGAGAGAGAGGAGAGAGAGAGAGAGAGAGAGAGAGAGAGAGAGAGAGAGAGAGAGAGAGAGAGAGAGAGAGAGAGAGAGAGAGAGAGAGAGAGAGAGAGAGAGAGAGAGAGAGAGAGAGAGAGAGAGAGAGAGAGAGAGAGAGAGAGAGAGAGAGAGAGGAGAGGAGAGGAGAGAGAGAGAGAGAGAGAGAGAGAGAGAGAGAGAGAGAGAGAGAGAGAGAGAGAGAGAGAGAGAGAGAGAGAGAGAGAGAGAGAGAGAGAGAGAGAGAGCACGAGAACTCTGAAGACGTTCAACGTCTGTCAATTTGTTGGTACCGACTTGTACATACTGTAGCAGGACAGGTCTGGAATCCATCATCCACCAACTAACGTAAACCGACATCGTTGTAGGGAGATTTCTCGTGTCAAAGCCTGCGATACTGCAGTATATTTTCATTGTAAAGGAGGCATCACCACGTCATGTGTAATGTGCGGTAGCGTAAACGTTACGTTCCATAGAGTACAGGGGATGCGTATTTTGACAGTCTCCCAAACTCTCATGTCAACACCTCTGCAGTTTGACAGGTCTGTGGTAGACCGCAGCATCTCGCCGCCAACAATGCAGATAATCAACTGTGTAAACAAGACGGCCGCATACCCCTGTGACGCAGGCAGAATGCTCGCTCGCCTTTGGCCCAGTATGGGGCAACACTTGCTATGTGACTAAACACACGGCATGCCGCTCCGTTGGGCTAGTCTGAAATAGTGTCCAAACGTGGACCATCCGATCATGTCCCGGCCACCCCATATACGTTCATGTACATATACACGGCTGATAAGGCAATAATAAACGATGCGGATATTTCCATAAAGGGATAAAGAAGGAATACTGATTTCCCTTTTCATGACAAACCACAAAATATACCGTCCCTGCTGTGCTAGCTGTTGAGTATTGTCGTTCAGTTCACTCGTCACATGCACAACGCCCTACACACTAGTAACTGCACTGTGTGACAGTACAGACTCCACTGTACTGATCCTGCATGCTGCCTTGCTGCCTTGCTGGCCAACTACAGTCTACAGTGTAACAGTTACATGTAAATATGAAGAAAAAATGAAGAAAAAAACACTTTGCTCGAGTCGTCAGCAAGCATAATCCCGTTCCTTTTTTCACCATGCCACAGTGATTTGTATTCTGTGCCTATGGAAAAACGTGGGCATTTAAAGTAACTAAAAGTTATGCGATCGAGTCCACCAACTAAACCAGATTTCTAACAGCCAGACGTGCACAATCTACATGTACATGTACGTAGCGCAAAACTGACAAGGAGCACGGAGACATTCCACGCCTTAAAAAAAGTCAGCTTGAGCACTGCTCGAAAGCGCTATGGCCGGAAGGCCGTTGGTTAGCGCTATCGAGCAGTGCTCAAGCTGACTTTCATGCAATGGAATGTCTCAGTACTCCTTGTCAGTTTTGTGCTAGATTGTGC